TGGGTGACTATATTATATAGTTAATGATATTTACTGCTGCCTCATGAAGGCGCATTATCGCCTTTGCCCAGTGACATTAGGTTTGGCCATGTGACCTGCCTTACCTCTCCATGTAGGATTATATGTTCCAGTCCTGCTGTGCATAGGGTGGCCACATGACCAATGCAATGAGAACAGATAGACCCTGTAAGAGCCAGCCTGAGGTTTCTTCCTGCCGACACCAGCACTGGTCCAGATGGGGGCTACTCTGTCAAACTGGGTCCCAAAGTGAAAAGGACATGGAACGTAACTGAAACTGACCATGATGAGCACAAGTGAAAAGTAAATCTTTACTGCTGTGTCATGAGATATAATGGTTGTTTGCTAATGTGGCCTAACCTAACCTATCTTAATAATATATCTTTTTTAAATGTTTTTGTTGAGTTTTTAGAGAAAGAGGAAGAGAGAGAGAGACAGAAACATCTATGGGAAACATTGATTGGCTGCTTCCTGCTTGCCTCCTACTGGGGGGTCAAGCCTGCAACCCAAGCATGTGCCCTGACCAGGAATTAAACCAGCAACCTCTTGGTGCATGAGTCAACAGTAAACCAACTGAGCCACACCAACCAGGCAATGATGATATCCTATGTAATAAAAGGGTAATATGCAAATTGACCAAACAGCAGAACAACTGGTCATTATGATGCATTGTCCACCAGGGGGCAGATGCTCAATGCAGGAGCTGCCCCCTGGTGGTCAGTGCGCTCCCACAGTGGGAGTGCTGCTCAGCCACAAACCGGGCTGATGGCTGAGGAGCGCAGCAGCCTGACTCCACAGCAGCACTAAGGATGTCTGACTGTGGCTTAGGCCCACTCTCCCTAAGGAGACTGCACTAATGTCATGCACCAGGCCTCTAGTATCTTTATATGATGCGTGAGCTCTGATTGGTGCTGTATTTTTGACTTGGAGCGGTTTGGACACTCACTAGATTCTATATGGAGAGTCCTGGATGGGAAGAAGAGGATGGTGGGCTCTAATGCCAGGGTAGTTGTGTGGTGGGGACTCTATGTGCCTCTGTCACCCAGATAACTAACACAGAGCACTGTGCCCATGGAGCCGGCAGCCTCTGTCACTGTCCCTTGTGCTCCAGTGCAGGAACTACTCAGCCAGCGAGGTGAGTGATGGGGAGCCCAGGAATGCAGCCACTTGGAAAATTCCTTCCTAGCTCATAGGTTAGGGTAGGTGTGAGGAATGGGGTTAAAGTGGGTACAGGGGCTTATGGCTGGAGACACAGTGACCCAAAGAAGCGAAGCTAGACATTGTTTCAGAAAGAAGTTTCAGATGTCAGGAACCCCAACACCTGGAGAGAACAGAGGGGGCAACATGCACATATGGAGTCGGGAGACCAAATAAGGAAATGCTTTGTTTTCTGGTGTGCTTTGATGGGCCTGGAAAAGAGTATGACTCAAAGGAAGGTTTGTCTGAGGCATTTCCAAGTTTTCCTTGGCCAGAGCAGCCCCTCCGAAGTTTGAAAGCAGATACGGTCAACTCAGGTTAGCAGACACTTCACTGAACCGAGAGCCCGCCGTGCGCATTAGAGGGAGGCAGTGTGGGAAACTGATAGAGGGTTGAGCCTCGGACTGACCTGTTGGCAGGGTCACAAACAAGTCCCAGCTTACAGGGCACAGTCCTCTTAGCATAATTAGGCTTGACCTTATAACACTCCCCAGATCTTATCTGGGAAGCTAATAGGCTGAGGGAAGTGCAGGAAGTGTAACTATGGTCAAAACAGGTGAAACTCACAAGAACTGTGTAACTATGGTAACCACTGCCTAGTTTACCTCTGACTATAAAAGGTTGGTGTGGCCTGAGCATCCGTGGAAGTCCTTCCTCCTGAGTTGGACTTACCCACCTGGTCCCCCAATATTCCCAAATTATCTCTTGTCTTTTCTTTCATTTGTGTGCAGCTCCTCTTCCAGATACTGAACCCTGAACCACGCGGGACGTGGAGGGAAACATTTACCAACAAAGCAGTTTCACTTTCTGCATAAAACAAAAATTTATCTGGGAGATAAACACCTGAGCGTGAACACCTCTGAGGCACCGCGAGAGTAAAATTTTATCCTTGTAAGATAAACACATGGTCAGTTCACACTCACACACACACACACAAACTGACCATGAAGATAATCTCAGTGAAGATAAAACATCAGAAATTGCACAGAACATAATCATGTTATTGCATAATAGATTAAAATACAGCCTTTAGCCAAAACCGGTTTGGCTCAGTGGATAGAGCGTCGGCCTGCGGACTGAAGGGTCCCAGGTTCGATTCTGGTCAAGGGCATGTACCTCGGTTGCGGGCACATTCCCCAGTAGGAGATGTGCAGGAGGCAGCCGATCGATGTTTCTCTCTCATCGATGTTTCTAACTCTCTATCTCTCTCCCTTCCTCTCTGTAAAAAATCAATAAAATATATTTTTAAAAAAATACAGCCTTTAACATGTAATTAAGTAGCAATTAGTACCAATGTACTTTTCTAAACATCTGCTCAGCAGAACTCACCAGAAACAAAAGGTATCCTGTCTCTCCATCAGGATGGAAGTACCTACAACACATGCTGGTGAAGAGTGGCAAGCCCCACGCTGCTGAGAGTGTAAAGGGTCCAGCCACTCTGGCAGACAATTTTGAAATACTTTTTTGACTAAAATATTCATATCTCTGGAACAGTATAGTCACATCTAAGAAAATGATCAGAAGCGCAGACAAAGATTTATGTACCAGATGTAGCAAACAATAAATATCCGACAACAGGACTATAATGAAATAAATGATATATAAAAAAAAACATAATAAAACCATCACGTATAATTATGAGTGCTTTCAATTATATAGGAAAATGTTTAGAAGATAATATCAATCCAAAACAGCATAAGATGAAATTGTATATATGGTATACTCTCAATATTTAAGAATATGTACATAAAAAAATGACTGAAAAAGGTATCTTAAAATACTAACAGTGATTGTCTCTACAAAGTAGTATTATGGGTGATTATTACTTACTTCTTTTTTTTTTAAATATTTTTATTGATTTCAGAGAGGAAGGAAGAGGGGGAAAGAGATAGAAATATCAATGATGAGAGAGAATCATTGATCGGCTGCCTCCTGCACACCCCCACTGGGGATCGAGCCCGCAACCCCGGCATGTGCCCTAGACCGGAATCGAACCTGGGACCCTTCAGTCCGCAGGCTGACGCTCTATCCACCAAGCCAAACTGGCTAGGGCTTACTTACTTCTTAATACATTCCTGTATTCTCCAAAATTTCCATAATGATATATAATTATATTTTCAAAAAAAATCTTTTGGAAAAGTATTCCTAAATGGTAATAGAGAGAGTAACTCAGTAATATAATAATACATTATTGTTAACATGACAATGAATGTGAGGTGATAAATGTGCTAACTAACCTCATTGTAGTGATCATTTTGCAAGTATACATGCATCAAATCATAGCCTTGCATACCTTAAACTTCCACATGTTATGTGTCCGTTATTTCTCAAAAGAGCTGGGAAAAAATTAATGACATTACAAATCAGTTTACAAAAACTCAAAACAACCCTCAGAAAAAAATTATACTTTGAATATATATCAATAAAAACAAAAAAATTACTAAATACACATATAAAATATAAATGAATTTTATTTATAAATGTATAGATGTACACACTTAAAATAAAAGTTACTAATTGGGGGAAAATACATCAAAAGAATATAATGCCATAATCAAGTAGAGTTTACTCAGAATTTAAGGATGTTTTAATATAGTGAAAGCCATTAATATAATATTGGGTGACTTAAATGATAATAAAAATATATGATTATATTAAAAGATACCAATTCCTACTAAAAGTTTCTAACAAACAATAGTTGTTATTTCCTTTAAGTAGATAATATTTGTTTAAAACTAATAATTAACTTAATGTTTAATGAAGAAATATCAAAAAATATCTTTTTATCACAATTTTATTTAACAGAAAATAGATACATAAGACAAATATTTTTGCAGCTATGATTTTAGAAAAAAACTAAATGCTGTTAGCACAAAGGCAATTCACTAAAAGACAAATATTTTCTTAAAGTGTTCATTCTAGACCTAGACAATTCAAATTGAAGCATTAAAAAGATCTTTACACCTTATGTAACACATTCCTTAGGGAGAAAAAGATTTTTTTGAAAATTAAAAATATATATGTGGGAAGAAAAAAGAACAATGAAGACCAATATAATGCTAATTCAATTGATTCAAACGCAGAGTTTAACTTGCTATATGGCAAAAATATCTAACTACCAAGTGTTAGAATTGCCAAGAAGAATAAATAATGTTTTTGCTCAAAGCTAGGGAATAAAAGCGCAAGGCACTGCAATGTAAGGAAGTAAGTGCTATGCTAGAGAGCTGAGAACTCTCTTGGGGTCAGGAAAGGTTAACCCGGCATTTAACCCTTTGCGGTCGTTTGTCTGCTCTCAGCCACCACAGCAAGGAACCATACGCATCTTAACTCTATCTATTCATGTATCAGTTCATAATTTCTCTGAAAGCTCTTAAGTGTCTAAGCGACCTTGTCACGAACCAGAACAATGCCTCGACAAATCGGAGATATCGAAACTCAATATAAACAAACGCGGTCGTTCCACACTCGCCATGCAAAACACCGTGGCGAGTCAGTCGCCTTTTGAGAGTGAAGAAATCGACAAGCTTCGGAGATACTTCGCAGAATTTCAAATAAAGCTTTACAAATTACGTTTAACTATCATTAGGCATTCTCGCTTGTTAAGATATTTCAAAATAATACTCCAAAATGGCAAAAAGAAAGTTACCGAAAGAAGTGTACTGCGAATCTGAAAGTAACGATGAAGAGTTTTATTTTGGCACCTTGAATACTGACTCTGACGTAGAAAGTGATAGATAACGTTTGTAGTGATTCTACTAGTAGTGACGTAGTTCCAAAAAAGAATTAATAAATCTTGTTTATCCTTCATAATCTTGCATGTTATGTATCACTGCTCTTTCAATGGAAATTAATTCCGACCAGTATGACACCCATGTCCAAATTTAATACGACCGCAAAGGGTTAAAGAATCTAATTTTACCAGGTTTTAAGGCAGGTGAAGGGAAGAAGGGTGACACCGAGAGGGAGGGAACTTACAAACGCAGAGGCACCGGATCAAACGGCCCGTTCCAAAAACCACAAGTAGGTCAGTACACACAATATTGGCCTGCATTTTAAAAACTTAATATTTAAAGATCAGAAAATCTGGCTTTCTGGCTTCTTTTGTCAAAATGGACAATCTGACAAACCGGACCAAGTTCCCACATGAAAACGAGAGGCAGTGGCCCCTTTTCGACGGGACAATTTGCCACAGCACTTCCTCTTTACCCGCTTCCTCTTACATCCAGCTCATTTCATCCACTAACTCACCTTTCTGGTCCCTGTAGCTGTCTGAGTTTATGACTCGTTCCCTACGTGATGGGGACCAATAAAGGTAATGGCAGGAAAAAGCAATATGATTAGGACTGGATTTCAAAAGATCAACCAGGCAGCAGAAGGGAAGGCAGAGGGAGAGAAGGGTGGTAAGGAGATCAATGAAATCCACAAAAGTCTATTACATTAACAATTAAAATGGGGCAACCACCATTGAAGGAGCGTAACCTAGCACCTCCCACAAGACACTCGCAAGACATGACTTGAAAACCACTGAGTTCTGTAAGAGGTGACGAGGGTTTTAAACAAGGCAGTGTGTAGGGAATGTGAAGAAAGGCACAGAGAAGGATAAAAATTTGAGAGATTTTCGAGGGGAAAATAATCTCCAACATTAGGTAACCAATTTGACACTGGGAACGAGGAGAGAGAAGAGTATTGGGGCACTTTGCAGTTTTGGGGCTTAAGTCATTAGATGGTGAAAACTCCAAAATTAAAAAGAAAAGGGGAAGGGGGAAGAACAGCTTGGAGAAAACGTAATCCTTCAATTTAGGATATGTTGAATTTGTGGAGTCTAGAGATGTATAGCTTCATCTCGTAAGGCCCAATAAATTGCCAAAGAAAACTTATCTCTGAGTCTAACTCTGTAACAGCTGATCGTCAGGTACGATTACATAAAATATTTCTACAGAATGAATACCAAAGAACTAAAATTAAAATGAAATATTATAGAACTGAATAAAATATTGCAACAAAGATTACAAAGGGTCAATAGCCTCATATATAAGCACATAATTAAAAGATATATGAAAGAAACACGATAATATAAAAGTCTACCAAGTCTCTTCATATAAAGGATAAGCATTTACATACTACACTGTTTCCATTAAGGACTGACGATGGCTTACAACAAAAATATATGTAGTACAGTGATATAATGTAAATAATGATAATAATAAAAACGTAAAAATATATTTTTAAAAATCAGCACCAGGAGAAATCAGAACTAGGAAGAAGAAACAAGATATGCAAGCTGTGAGGGCTTCAGAAACACCATTGTTGACAACCAAACTGAAAAGTTTAACAAAAGTTGCATGACTTTTACTGTCCATTAGGAGAAAACAGCAATTTCTCCCTTTACAAAAGACATTTTTTTGAATACCACCCCCAATGCAAAAGACAGAACTTCACGACAAAAATATTTCTAAATTAAATAAAGTTAGCCTTATGAAAAACTCACTACCTTGCCCCTATTTCTCAAATGTCATGCTATTGCAGGACAGTTCAGTATTTCTAAAAACACTCCACACAGACATGTGGGGCTATTACGACAGCAAACACAGGGAAGGGTTCCATAAAGTGCTTCTCTGTGGTACCCTTTGATGGAAACAAAGAACCAAACATCTAAGCATCACTGGATGAAGACATCTGGGTGGGGGAAGAGAGGAGAGGGAGGGGGAAGTGAACATGAAGTGGGCGAGGTATATAGATCTCTGATGGTCCATCCTGATCCATAAAAGAATGAATAGAATTTTGAGGAATGGATGAACTACACATCCTTCAAACCATAACAACTGGGCTTTGGACAAAGTTTCATAAGGGCAGAGCAGAAGTGAGGTAGGAATCTCTGGCGAGCACCCAAAAGTTATATACTCTCTGTGTTGCCCGAGGATGCAACCACAAGAGGTGAATATTGTATGAGCACAGTATGGCTGACAGCCTTTCATAAAAATTAAGGAGCCTAACTAAAGGCCATCCCCCATTGGCACAAAAGAGGTAATTACAGGCCCCCATAATTAAAGGGCATGTGCAAAATGCACAAAATAAAGACCTACAGAAAGCAGACACATAAAAATATTCACTTGCACATAAACCTAAAGAAATGCAAATCAAAAGACAGTATCATTTTGCAACTATAAGCTAAGCAAAAGACTAACTTTAAAAATTCAATATTGTGTGGATTTTAAGAAAAGAGTTATATTCCAAATTTGTTAGAAAGAATCAAAATTTCCCAGGATAAGGGAAGCAGTTAAGAAAACTATGATATACGAATGTATCTGTGCACAAAAATGATGATGCGTGATAAATGTGAACAAATATGAGAAGATGCTTATGAGGTTGATGTATTCAAACTGTATATATGAGCATGCAGGCAAACATGTGGCCGGGTCACAGAGCAAGTCAGCGAAACCTGCCTGTTTACGAGCTCTGCCAGCCGGCCCGGGAAAGCTCTCAGGAACTGCAGGCAGAAGCTGCCATCCCAGGCCTTGCCCAGCACGGACCCCATCTGCACTCAGGTTTACCCTCTCTTTGCCTGCTCCAACCTCATCTCCGACCTTATCCTCCAAATCTGACAACGTCTCCTTTTCCTTCTTCTTTCATTCTCACGACACCCCGTGAGGTAGGTATTTTAAAGAAATAATTAAATGAATGAATAGCTGCAAATCAAAGCTCAAAACGGAAGCTTTGTTTCCAGACCTTCCAACTGGATGAGCTTCTTGAGCTTCTTCTTACTTCAGCGACGTCCTTCACGGTTTCCCTGCACATGGCTTCTTGGCCGACTGGGCAGGGGCAGAAGCCAGGGGACGAGCTTCTGCAGCCCCAGGAACCGGTCTTCCTTGCTTCTCAAGGCCCAGTGAGTGCTCAACAGAAGAAGCTGAATTATCTAAAAAGAAGAGATGAGGTTTCCTAAGACACTCCTTTTACCATTTCTAAATTTCATTTTATATTGGGAGCATTAGTCCAGCGAATCAGATCTCAGAAAAACATTCTAGATTTGGAGAGTTTGTGTCTTCTGGATTTAAAATATATTAGCCCTAGCCAGTTTGGCTCAGTGGAAAGAGCACTGGCCTGCAGACGGAAGGGTCCCAGGTTCAATTCCCGTTAAGGGCACATGCCCAGGTTGTGGGCTATTCAGTCCTCTGTGTGGGGTATGCAGGAGGCAGCCAATCAATGATTCTCTCTCATCACTGATGTTTCTATCTCTCTTTCTCCCTTCCTCTCTGAAATCAATAAAAGTATATTTAGCCCTGGCCAGTTTGGCTCTGTGGATAGAGCGTCGGCCTGCGGACTGAAGGGTCCCGGGTTCGATTCTGGTCAAGGGCATGTACTTTGGTTGTGGGCACATCCCCACTGGGGGTTGTGCAGGAGGCAGCTGATCGATGTTTCTCTCTCATCGGTGTTTCTGATTCTTTATCCCTTCCTCTCTGTAAAAATCAATAAAATATATATATTTTTTTTAAAGTATATTTAGCCCTGACTGGTTTGGCTCAGTGGATAGAGCGTTGGCCTGCGGACTGAAGGGTCCCAGGTTCGATTCCAGTCAAGGGCATGTGCCTTGATTGCGGGCATATCCCCAGTAGGGGGTGTGCAGGAGGCAGCTGATCGGTGTTTCTCTATCATCGATGTTTCTGACTTTCTATCCCTCTCCCTTCCTCTCTGTAAAAAATCAATAAAATATATTTTTTTTAAAGTATATTTAAATATATATATAATATTAAACACACACAGAGCAACCAGAAAGAAACTATTTCATAGATAGGGGAGAGCCACAAAACAACAGATGAAGATAATGACAGGCTCTATACATAATATACAGTAGAAGGTCCCTGCCACCATTCAGGGTTCTTAGATAGCCTCCGACACTGTTATATGCAAAACCCTCCCCACCTTCTCACTACCTGCCTAGAAAGTCGGCCACTACCATCCCAACATAAGAAAAGTCCATAGTAAAAGCTTAGAGACTCTGATTTAATTATATGGTTTTCCCATCAACAATTCTCCTGAGTCTACCACCCACTGAAACTGATTTTCAGCTACAGGCAAATCTAACAGAATAAGTAACCTGAAAGCATTCCAATGAAAAGAACACCAATCATACTTTGTAGACCTTAAAAAATGACAGACTAAGCTTCGAGATAGGAAGATGGTTATGATGTTGTATAGAGTGACAGTTTAAGATGCTAAACCAAACATACTTTGACTACAACTGGACTAGTCTTCGTATAGTAACAAAACTGAAGGGCTCGAGAGTAAATGGTAACAATTACTGTGCATTTGAATGAGTGATCCTTTGCAATTTTTATCTTTATTCTATGATCCAAATTTTTCAGTAATGTGCTTAAAATTTCCTAACAATTAAAAAAGAAAAAACTTTAATTCAATTTAATAAAAGAAAGCCATCCCTACATTACCCTTACCTTTCTAGTCACTGGCCCATCTCCCTCCTCTCTTTTCCTAATGAAGCTGTTAAGACTGGCCTATCTGCCTCCTGACCCCCAACTTACCAAGGAGCTACACTGTTCCCACACTGGGCAGGTGCCATTAGCTGGCAGCCCTGGAAATAACTCCATCCCTTCCCTTCTTTGGTTACAATCACAGCTCTGTATCATAAAACATTGACTGTCCTAAACTTCCCCTAGGACAGAGCTCTAAACACTTGAAGTACTTTCTCCCCAGACTCATCTTCAGGTCAAAACGACATCAGTGAGGCCTGGCCGGCATGGCTCAGTGGTTGAGCATGAACCTAAGAACCAGGAGGTCACCGTTTCAATTCTCAATCAGGGCACATGCCCAGGTTGCAGGCTCGATTCCCAGTGTGGGGCATGCAGAAGGCAGCCGACCAAGGATTCTCTCATCATTGATGTTCCTATGTCTTTCCCTCTCCCTTCCTCTCTAAAATCAATAAAATATGTGTGTGTTTTTAATAAACTACCTCAGTGAAGGAGTTTAGTCTACGTCTGACATTCTCACCTTTATTTTCAAGCATCTTATGCAGCTTCTCGTGCCTGTAGGTAGAGATGATCTGGAAATTAACGACACTGGACACATTCAGTCCTTGGTCCTCCAGCAGCTTCAGGGATGCCGCGTTGATGAGTTGGTGGGACCGTTTGCATTTCTGAAGCCTGCACTCTCCCCTGACAAAGGACTTGCACACATGAAACTTATTGCATTTGTCCTTGAGGATGCAGTAGCCATACAGGGCTTCACCTTTGTTGTAGCACAGACAGACCTGGGAGAGAAATGAGGCAACACTGAAAACATTGGTTTGCACTGTATCTTTTAAGCCAATAAATGACCATTTCTCCAACTGACAACTTCCGGTCACCAATGGCTGTTAAAATCGTTGGGTGGGCCCTTGCCGGTTTGGCTCAGTGGATAGAGCTTGGGCCTGCAGACCGAAGGGTCCCAGGTTCCGTTTAAGTCAAGGGCACGTACCTCGCTTGCAGCTTCTCCCCGCCCCGGACCCTGGTCACGGCATGTGTAGGAGGCAACCAATCGATGTGTTTCGCTCATGTCGATGTTTCTGTCTTTCCCTCTCTCTTCCACTCTCTCTGAAAATCAATGGAAAAATACCCTCGGGTGAGGACTAAAAAAAAAAAAAAAAAAAAAAAATGCACTTTTTATAAAATCATTGGGTGGAAGGTGGGTGGGTGGGTAGTTACAGTACTCCCTCCCAGATCTCCCCAGCTGTCACTAACAAACAGCTGCCTCTCTCTGACTTTGACCTTCTCTGGACCTACCTTACTTTCCCAAAGTCTGTAGCCAATGAGTGAATTCTACGCAGGTACTAAAGGCTGGCCCTTTGCCTCAATTCTTCAGGGTAATTACAGCTCGATCCCCGCCATGAATCCTCAAAGCCTGACTGCCTTGCTTGTAGCTTGTCCTTCCCTGTAACCTGCTTCCCTCTTATTTTATCTTACCAAGTTTTTGCAAGGAGCCCTACTTCAAGAAATCACACACACCTAAATCCCTCTGTGTAGGGAAACCAACCTAGACAGGTAATGTGAACAGATCATTTGTCACCCAGACAAGGGCATTTGTTTAGGCAGCACTATAATAATTACATTAGGGCAAGTGATATAAACTGGGTCTGTCCCACGTGAACCAAGACCCGCCTGGTGGGGACCTTCATAAGGATGGGTCAGGTTGTCACCCCTAAAATTGCTCTTGCCCTAACCGGTTTGGCTCAGTGGATAGGGCGTCGGCCGGCAGACTGAAGGGTCACAGGTTCGATTCCGGCCAAGGGCATGTACCTTGGTTGCGGGCACATTCCCAGTGGGAGGTGTGCAGGAGGCGGCTGATCAATGTTTCTCTCTCATTGATGTTTCTAACTCTCTATCCCTCTCCCTTCCTCTCTGTAAAAAATCAATAAAATATATTTAAAAAAATAAAATAAAATCGCTCTTAAGCTCACACACAAAAAAGATGATCAGGCATTGTGTCCCTCCTGGCAACGTAGTTGGAATGTACCTAACTCATGACATACCAAACCTGACTTCAACACCTGAAGAAACGAGAAAGGAGATGGGCGCCAGGAAGAAACCTCCTGGCTCCTAAGGCTGACTCCAGTGCTGCCTGTGGGTACACGCTGCTGCCTTGAGGGCAGCCTCTGCCATCTGAACCAAAGGCTCCAGCTTTGGGGCCTTCTTCCCTTCCAGACCCTGCCATCTCTTAGCATTAAAATGGGACCACAATCATGAACTACCCTCTCCTTCCCAACACCCTCCCTTCTTCTCACTCCTCTTCTGGCAACTCGGGAGTGTCTGTAATAGAATCACTGTGCCAGATTAGAAAACTCAACTTTTAATGGGTGGTTTATTATAAAATTTTATTTTGAGGGTTCCAACTATTTTTTTTAAATATATTTTATTGATTTTTTTACAGAGAGGAAGGGAGAGGGATAGAGAGTTAGAAACATTGATGAGAGAGAAACATCGATCAGCTGCCTCCTGCACACTCCCCCCTGGGGATGTGCCCGCAACCAAGGTACATGCCCTTGACTGGAATCGAACCCGGGACCCTTGAGTCCACAGGCCGACGCTCTATCCGCTGAGCCAAACCGGTTAGGGACCAACTATTTTTTTAATATATATATATTTTAATCCTCACCTGAGGATATTTTTTCATTGATCTTTAGAGAGAGAAAGTGAAAGGGTGGGAGAAGGGGGAGAGGGAGGAAGAGGGAGAGGAAGGGAGGGAGAGAGGGAGAGAGAGAGAGAGAGAGAGAGAGAGAGAGAGAGAGACATCAATGTGACAGACCATCCACTGGTTGCCTCCCCCACAAGCCCAACCAGGACTAGGGCTCGAATTTGCAACTGAGGCACATGCCCTTGACTGGAAATTGAACCCAAGACCCTTCGGTCCATGGGATGACACTGTAATCACTGAATAAACTGACCAGGGCTTTTAATTTATATACTGATTTGAGAGAGAGAAACATTGACCTGCTGTTCCATCCATTTATGCATTCATTGGTTGACTCTTGTATGTGCCCTGATGGGGGATCGAACCCATAAACTTGGTGCGTTGGGACAATGCTCCAATCAACTGAGCTAACCGGCCAGAGCTAGGAATCCAACTATTTTATTTTTAAAAAGTATTTGTGTCTAGCTAAACGGTTACAAACATACTAACTTCACCATAATAGCAGTTATAATGGGTACTCTTTAAGTATAAAACTGAGTCATGTTGCTTTGAAGCAATTAAAATTTGTATCTAAGACCGCAAAAAAAGTAAATGGGGGTAAATACTTGTAACAAATATGACCAGAAAATGAATTCTTATTAAAAACATTGTATAAATTAACAGGAAAAGAAAAATGCCTCCATAAAAAAAAAATAGGCAAAAGCATAAACAGGCAATTCACACAACACCGGCTTCATAGACAGACCTACATTCAAATCTGCCATTTATCATGTGACCTATGGCACGTTAATCTATCTGAGACTCAGTTTCCTCACCTGTAAAATGGGGGCAAGTTATTAAGGGACTAAAGTATATAAACTGCTTAGCATCTAGTAAACACTCAAAAAACCAGTAGCCTTTATAATTATTTCTATACCACAGGGGTCCATCACTCCCTGAGTATCAAAGTCTAGTAAAATCAGAGACTCCAGAAAGGTCACCACCCCACCCCCCACCCCGGTACACCTAAGGCTGCCATGCTCTCCCCTGACTTTTTCCACTGGGCAGACAATGAGGGTGACTCCTTGGTGACTCACCTCTGGTAAAAGGCAGGGGTCGTTCTGTAAAAGCAGAATCCGAAGCTGGGCCTCATTGAGGCCAAAAAGCCCATGGTTTTTCAGGACTTGGATGTTGACAGGTGTGTGGATATCATGGGAAAGGGTACAGGTAGACCTAGAACACAAGGCTCTGGATCAGAGGCCTAGGTGAGGAGGCCGGTCGGTCCCATTCTTTGCCTAGCCCTAGGGTCACTTTCAACTTGGACGTGAAGTTAATAAACAGGAACACCAGGTACTGCAGCCTAACAGGCTCTGGTAATAAGAAAGCTGGGTTGATGCAACTCCCCTCCCAGGGTCATCCTCACTTTCAATGAGGATATTTAAAGCCAAGGGTGTCCCCCACCCCCAGTCACCTGCCCTGACAGAGGGTGCCCACCTGTTCTGCAAGTGAGTGCACTTGTCTTCTCCACCCCAAACAGCTGCCCATCCCCACAAGCCACCACCGTGCCACCAACGTTAAAAAGAAAGCCTGCCCCACCCCACTTTGGGAAGCTTGAGTAAACCAAGGCAGAGTCAGGCGACCTCTCCCAAATCATCCATCCACCCCTCCGTTTCCTGGGGCTCGGACTAGATTGGTCTTTCTAAACCGAGAGAGGAGAGACCAGCTTCCGTAAAACTGTGCGTCTGGGTGGGAGGAGGCAACCTCTGCATAAAGGGTCCAAGGCCCTGACGGGATTCGCAAACGCTCCCCCAAAAGGAGTTCGGGCGTAAACCCCAAAGTCCCAATCCTGACTCACCCGGGCACACGACCCCCTTTTTCATCTCTTTTGGGTCCCGCTTCCAGCCCGAAGGGCCAGGCCCGTGCGCGGGGGTCGCGCCGCCGCCTGCGTCCAGGAGGCCGCCCGGCCCACCCCCGGCCCGGGTCCCCGCGCCCCGGCCCCCGCGCGCTCACCAGCAGTCGCGGTTCGGGCACTTGCCCTGCATGTGGCGGCGGCAGAAGTGCAGCTGGTCGCAGGCCTGGCACTCGCCGCGCTGGTAGCGGGCGCAGAGGCGCGCGGAGGACACGGCCACCACCCTGCAGGCCGAGGGGCCGCCGCCGCCCGCGCCCGCCGCCACCTCGGCCTCGGCGTCCCAGGGGCCCTCCTGCACCGCCACCTCCTGCAGCAGGAAGCGGTCGGGCCCGGCCTGGCGCAGCACGTCGCCGAGCCGGGCCTCCGAGAGCTCCACGTGGGCGCGCAGGTCCTGCAGGAACATGCGGCCCCCGTGGGCGCACAGCACCTTGGTGAGGAAGGAGCACACGGTGGGCTCCGCCATGGCCGCCCCGGCTCCCTGCGCGGCCCAGCGCGGAAATCCGAGGCGGCCAGGCTCCTCCCAGTCACGTCCGCGATTTCAAACCAGCATCCCGAGACCGTCTGGGGAGGGCGGGGGGCGGCGGCCGTGGGCCCGCGGGCCCCCCTGGAGGCGGACCAGGCAGGGACAGCACCTTACTGAGCGCCTGCTCTGTGCCGGGCACGGGTCAGGGTGAGTCCCTGCCTGCGAGGGGAGGGGGATCTTGCAAACAAATGAGAGAATTTGAGGGACTGGTAAGGGCTGCAAAGATGAAACAGGTAATGTGAGTTCAAAAAAATTTTGACTTCCACTGCTGAAGTGTTTAAAAGACAGGGTTTATTAGCAAAATAGATAAATTGATAAGTAAATAAAATAAGGCCATTCTTTGGGCATGGCGTCTAAACTACCAGCAGCATGTCCATCCTACTGGAGTTTTGCAAATGTTTGTTTGCTTTAATTCATTTTTTTTATTTTTTGAGAGGAAGGGGTAGAGAGAGAGAAATCTAGATTTGTTGTTCCGATCATTTATGCATTCGTTGGTTGATTCTTTTTTTATTTTATATGCTTTTATTGATTTCAGAGAAGAGGAAGGGAGAGGGAGAGACAGAAATATCAACGATAAGAGAATCATGGGTAGGCTGCCTCCTGCAACCCCTTCTGGGGATGGAACTTGCAACGCAGGCTTGTGCACTGACCGGAATCCGTCCGCAACCTCCTGGTTCAAGTCCCGGCTCAACCACCCTGCTACAAGGGCTGGGCTCCTTGGTTGATTCTTGCATGTGCCTTTACCAAGGATCCAACCTGCAACCTTGGCGTACGGGGCGGATGCTCTGACCAAATGAGCAACCCGGCCAGGGCTTGCAAGCCATTTTATACATGAAGTAGGTCGCGGGGAGAGGGGGAGAGAAAGGTGAAAGGATTTACATTAGCTATAGACAGAGGAATGGGAGAAGGTGAAACAGGCTAATTGCAAGGAAGAAGTGTCTACTCCTGGGGAAGGACTGGTAGGCCCCACATCCAGCTGCGACAGTGGCCAGAAGCAACCCAAGGAAATCTGCGAAGTAAAGGCATTCAAGCAGAAGCAAAAAGGGGAGCAGAAGAAACTTGAGGAACTAAACGCCAAGGCAGTGAAGGGCCCCCTGGCCACAAGTGGAATTAAGAAATCTGGCAACAAGTGAGCTGTTCCTTGTGCCTGGGGCAATGATGATCCTTCATTCCATTCCTGTTTTAACATCTGGATTCTATAACATCTGTCATAACATCTCTTGCCACCTATAGCCAGAATAAAGTGTTGTCTTGGAGCCTGTTGTACACTGAATAAGCTTTTGTGATTGTTTAAGTGTCTGTTCCTGTGTATTAACTGTGGGCAGAAGATTGGAAGTTCGTGTGCAAATAAGCAGAGTCTCCCAGGTTCTGCGGCATCTGACTATTGTCTCTTCGGGATAGTCGGAGAAATAAATAACTAGAAATTAATCCTAAATTCCAACAGGTATACAGGAATGTGAGCAGTCTTTTGTCAGAGCTGGCCCACAGTTGTTAACGGCTAATTTCTGTCTCTCATGTTCTATCATGTGGTAGAAGGTGCGGGTAGCCTTAGGAAGTCAGTAAGTGAGGACGTGGCCACCAGCCAGCCGTAAGTGGCTGTAGAGCACTTGAAATGTGACCAGTCTAAATTGAGATGTGATGTGTGAGACACACACACTGAAATTCAAAGGTTTAGAATGAAAAGAATGCAGAATATCTCACTGATAACTTTGTTAATCGTGTTATATTGACATTTAAATAAAATGTTATAATCTCATCTGCTTTTTAAAAAATGTTTTTATTGATCTTTAAAGAGAGGGGAAGTGAGAGGGAAACATCATGAGAGAGAAACATCATTGATAGGCTGCCTCCTGCACACCCCCCACTGGGGATCAAGCCCATAGCCCAGGCATGTGCCCTGACCAGGAATCAAACCAGAAATACTTGGGTCGTGGGTTGATGCTCAACCACTGAGTCGCACTGGCTAGGCTCATCTGCTTCTTTACTTCTCTGATGTAGCTATGAGAAAATTGTAAATTACCCACGTGGCTCACTTGATAGTTGTGTGGACAGCACAGGTCTAGACCTGTACATTTACTAAGCAACCATCCTTTTTGCCAACACCGTGCTCATTTAATGAACATTTATTGAGCCAACGGCTAATGCAGTGACCCAGTACAAAGATGAATAAGACATAACCTGGGAATTCAACTAGCCTCATTGCTATTTTATAGGGTGGTTCTGAGGATCGAATGAGTTAATGTCATGTAAAGAAACTAGAGGAAGGCAAGTGGCCAGATGTCAGAAGACCTTCTCTCCATGCTATTAAGTTTAGACTTATATACTGACTAGAGGCCCAGTGCACAAAATTTGTGCAGGGGGAGGGGAGGAGGGCGGGAAAGGTATGTCCCTCAGCCCAGCCTGCACCCTCTCCAATCTGGGACCCCTCAAGGGATGTCCAACTGCCCGTTTAGGGATGTCCGACTGCCCAGTGTGAGATCAGGCATAAATGGGCAGTCAGACATCCCTCTCACAATTCAGGACTGCTGGCTCCCAACCGCTCGCCTGCCTGCCTGCCTGATTGCCACTAACCACTCCCCTCCAGCCTGATCAACACCTAACTGCTCCCCTGCTGGCCTGATTGCCCCCAATTGTCCTCCCCCTGCTGGCCTGGTCCCCCCAAACTGCCCTCCCCCTGCTGCCTGGTCCCCACCAACTGCCCTCCCCTACTGGCCTGATCCCCCCCAACTGCCCTTCCCCTGCTGGCTTGGTCCCCCCCCAAATGGCCACCCCCCTGCTGGCCTGATCCCCCCCAACTGCTCTCCCCCTGCTGGCCTGGTCCCCCCCAGCTGCCCTTCCCCTGCTGGCCTGATCCCCCCAGCTGCCCTTCCCCTGCTGGCTTGGCCCCCCACCCAAGGGCCTCCCCCCTGCTGGCCTGATCCCCCCCAACTGCCCTCCCCTGCTGGCTTGGTCCCCCTCCCAATGGCCTCCCCCCTGCTGGCCTGATCCCCCCAACTGCTCTCCCCCTGCTGGCCTGGTCCCCCCCAACGGCCCTCCCCCTGCTGGCCTGGTCCTCTCTTGCTGCCCTCCCCCTGTAGGCCTGATCTTCCCCAACTGCCCTCTGCTGCTGGCCATCTTGTGTTGGAGTGATGGTCAATTTGCATATTACTCTTTTATTAGATAGGAAGACTTTGGGAAGCCACTTCAGGAACTCGTTAGTGGGGGAGAGGGAGGTGACATGATCCCTTGCCTAGAATGCTTCCCCCCTCATCTAGAGATCTCCGTTTTGTCATTCAACTCTGAGCTTGGCAGTTCTAGTCTTCTCTTCAGCAAGACCTTTCCTGACCTCCCAATCTAAAGTAGCTCCCCAGCCCAACCGGCGTGGCTCAGTGGTTGAGTGTCAACCTATGGACCAGGTCATAGTTCGATTCCCGGGCATATGCCTCGGTTGCAGACTCAATCCTCAGTGTGGGGCGTGCAGGAAGCAGCCAATCAATGTTTCTCTCTCATCGTTGATGTTTCTCTCTCTCTCTCCCCCACTTCCTTTACATGAAAACTACCACTGATTTTTCATCTTGCTTACTTATGCATTTGTAGGATTCAAGTGTGCGAAAGCAGGAATTTCATTTGCTGTATGCCTAAACTTAAAACAGTGCCTGGCCATGCTGTAGGATATGTGTTTTAGAAATATCCCTGGCAGCAGTTAAGAATGGATTTCTAGAAAAGCAAGACAAGGAATAATGGAAAAGAAACACGACTTAAGTGATTATAATCTCAATTTTTATATTTAGTTTGCAATGGACAATCCAAGATCGATTCTCAGTAGACTGTTGTATATTCAGATCAAGAGTTGAAGGAAGATGAAGGGAAATATAGGTGAGTGACATCAAAGTACTAGGTGGCAGAAGCTGTGAAAGTTGGTAAGATCACTTAGCAAAAACGAAGAATGAGAAGCACAGAAGGGAGGTTAAACCTGGGGAATAGCAACGTTAAATATGTCTGAAAACTTGAGACATGCCCGAGAAAATAGACAAAGAGGATAAATGACTAATTGGAAAAACTCAAACACCTGCTCATGCTTGGTTTGGTGGCATTTCCATGCTCCAGACAAGCAACAGGTTGCTATTTACCTTGAGGTCCAAATCATGGCAATTCTGCCTTCACTTTCATCAAATCTACGCTGCCACACAGGGATTTTCCGCTCTCTCCATCCAAGCTTTGTGATGAAAGAATGAGAAGGGCTTTCAAAGGAAAATTCTGAAGACCATTTACACTTTTAACTTTTGTGCCTCAGTCTCGCCCTGGTCCTACCCCTGACCACAGGAAAAAAGATATCTTAGCAGCTTCCAGCCTCTCTCTCTCTCTCTCTCTCTCTCCTCCTCCTCCTCAACAAAAGATGTGCCCACAGGCTGTGGACTTCTCTGCCACCACCACCCTGCCTTTCCCAGCCATGTGCTGAAGGCTCCTTCGTCATTGAGTCCTGGAATGATAAAGCTGGAAGGGGCAAAACACATTCTCTATCCCTCATTGAATCGTGTGTGTCTGCAGTTGGCTGTCTTGTGGAGATACCTAGAAATAAAGCAAATGAAGGCAGCAGAGAAAAATTTGCATTTACTTTTTATTAGTCTCTAATTGAGCTTGAAGAAGAAGATACAATTCAATGAATGAAATACAAATACTTGAGCTAACGTCCACACTATTTTATCAAGGTCTGAAGCAGTCAGCTAGTTATGGGGTCCAGCACAGTGAACAAGGCAAGTTGGCTTGGCCCTCAAGGAGCTTACATACTAATGCAGAAAGCAGACAACCTCGAGTTGGATAGACGCTAAAAATTAACAAAGCAAGGCACAAATTATTTTAAAAACCGGATTTGGGAGGCAAGCATCCTATCTAATCTATAGGACTCCTTATGAAGGTAAACACGCTAATCTCAAGATGCTAGATGTTAACCGAATCTGTGGTTCTCACCAGTGATAGTTTAGAAATTGATGGGGCCGAAACCGGTTTTGCTCAGTGGATAGAGCGTCGGCCTGCGGACTGAAAGGTCCCAGGTTCGATTCCGGTCAAGGGCGTGTACCTTGGTTGTGGGCACATCCCCAGTGGGAGATGTGCAGGAGGCAGCTGATCGGTGTTTCTAATTCTCTCTCTCTCCCTTCCTCTCTGTAAAAAATCAATAAAATATATTTTAAAAAAAAGAAAAAAGAAATTGATGGGTTTTGGTTTCATAACTGGGAATTATTATTTGCACTCAGTGGATGCAACCAGGGATAACAGATGTCCTGCAATATATGGGTTAGCCCCACAAAACGAAGAATTATTCAGTATCTATACGACTTTCTAATGTCCGCTGGACATTTATGTAGGACCTACAGGTCACCTGAGAGAATATATATGTTTTCCTCTTAGACAATCTGTAATTTGCCTTGTCTTATTATCCTTATTTACAGTAAGGTAATTTCGCTCTTTCCCTTACCATACACAGATAAGGTAATGGTCTATTATCACTTACCCTAATACTGGTCTTCATTCTAGTGTCTAGTGTCTTATCTTTCATTTTCCTGTACTTCTTTATAGGAAGTAGCCTCTGATCGATTCCTAAATCCAAAGGTATTCACTCAAAGCAGGAATAAATATCTATTTCATGATGTCGTATACCGTAGTCATGCCGGAGCATTTACATAATGAAATTCAGAAAGGAAGGAAGAGGGATATAGCCCATTAGGGGGCATGCAGGAGGCAGCCGATCAATGATTGATGTTTCTATCTCTCTCTCCTTCTCCCTTCCTCTCTGAAATCAATAAAGAAATATATATTTTTTAAAAATATCCACATCAATTAAGGTGTCCTTATTATCAGCATATGCAAGTAAGTTATTATGTCACTAGTTTCTATTCTAATGTCCACTTGTATCCCTGCTGTTTCATTTTCCCATACTTCTTTGTACAAAAAAGCTTCTAATCTCCTACCTGCTTATTCATTCTAAATAGATGTAAACATCTGAGTACTTAATTAGGTCTTCTAGTATAGTTGTATCCAAGTTATGTACTTTTAACTTCCCTTTTATATTAACATTACTTAATTTTAAATGTATTTCTAAAATTGTATCTAGGTAGAGAGAGTACATTACCACTAAATTGCATTTTGAGGATAATAATGTGGACGTTACAAAGTATCTGCCATTTAAAAAGAAGGCAGCGATGCTAATTGAAGACCAATGAGCTATGTGAGAGATCCCAAAGGACTGGAGGAAAGCCAGAGCGGCTTGTGTGGGAGAAAATAAATGATGGAGGGTAGGGAAGGCAGAGATCATGTGGGGCCATGATAATGATCTTGAACTTTACTCTAAAGGCATGATCAGATTTGTGTTTTGAAAGATGATGATTATTAAGTAAAAAATTTTAAAATATGGCCATTCTTGCTGCCAAATAAAGAACAATGTAGAAGGAGACCAAGGTATTTAAGAGGGAAAACAGAACTTGAGAACAGCTTAGATGCTCAGGGGAAGGTAGGGGGAGGGGGTCCAGGGCAACTTGTGGATTGCTGTTTGAGCAGATGTGTGGATGGTGATACCACGTACTTACATACAGAACCCTGGGGAGGAACTGGTTCATCTGAGGGAGGCAGAGCCAGAATCCTGTTTTGTACCTGGTAAAGCAGAGATGCCTGTGAAATATCCCACTAGAGATGTCTAATGGGCGGTCGGAGAGAGTTGTATAAGTTGGATCTCTGCAACACTGAAGGTCAAGATCAGGAAATGAAAACTCCAGAACGGAAACTACCATGAAAAAGGAAGAAGTAAACAAGAGTATTTGTGGCAAACCTCCCAGAAAACAACTTTATGCTAAAAAGTCCTCTAAACATTTGTTACTGGTGGATCCTTTAAGCCAAAGAATTGTAGCAGGCTGTGTACTGATTAAAAATCTGACATATAAAACCTCAAATGCTAATTAGTTTTTATAACATGTCTGCTGGAAGGATCTATAAGGAATATTTGGAGATTGGGATGGAATGTTTGAAAAGGAAAATTGAAAGGAAAAACCTGACTCATAATAAGGAACTTGGTCCAGGCAGCTTAATTGCTCTAAAAACTGACTGCACAACAATTCCATACATTTCGTTACATTAGGAAAAAAAAAAAAGCCTCTTACAGGCGCAAAGCCTGTCTGAGGCATTATCCTATTAGTTCTGATTCTGTGCTCACCAGGAAACAAATCTTGTCTCCTTAGGGGGCCCATCCTGCAACAGGAGGGCCCTGCTCCTAATTCCTCGGTGAGCCTCATCTGCCACAGCGAACGACGATAGGAGCCCTCCAGTTTGTCAGTCATGCCTGTGTGACTCGGGTAACTGCGCCTCAGTGCTCCCCCAATACACACACCTCATGAAAGTCCAACCTGAGAAAAGCCTTCTCTGGAATCATATTGATCAGAACCTAAGAGTCTACTTTGACATAATGATATTAAGACCTCAAATGGGCCCTTAACTCGAGTTGGTACTTCTCTCTGAGCCACACTTGGCAACTCTTTTTTATGAATTCCAGAGTCGACCTGGATGGGGCCCCCTAAATAAACGTAGAGATAACGAAATGTATGCCCCACATCAGTTTCACTGCAATGGTACGGTACGCAGGCTGTGTCTGTAATGGCATTTAAATTACCTTTACTCCCCCCCCCCCCCCGGATATTCCTAAGCATTCCCCTCCCCCAACTTTTCACAATCATTATCCAAGGCTGTACTGTCTTATGTGCTTATTTCAATAGGCATTTTTAGATTTCTCTCAAAGTTCCCAAATTAAGTTTTTTTCAATTTAACCAAAACAAAACCGTGCCATACAGTAAACTGTAAGAGTATTTGGGAGAGACAGTAGTTGCTGCAATCACAGTATTAGAAATCGTTCTTTACAGTTACAGTTACAGTTAAGGCAGTGGTTCCCAAAATTTACGACACACACCGCTGCCTGGCTCTCGCCCGCAGAAACAGTGATTTAGTTGGAAGGGGATGCATTCTGAACACTGGGATTTTTGTTTGTCTGTTTCCAGATGATTCACATGTGCAACAAAGTTTGGGAACCACAGACCTAAGGCATTTGATAAGTAATTGAGAAAATGTAAAAAAGTTTAACGGTTATCGGCGGCGATCGGGTTTTATAAGTGGACGGAATGGCTATGGCATCCTTTGTGATGGTGTCCTCATCATTTCTAACTAACCACGCAGGCTTTATCTGCTTCGGTATATTCAATCACATATTCTGGGTAAATCTGATTTTTCTGAAAGATGACAAAAATGGAAGGATTCAACCTTGAATCCACACAGCTGTCATACGGTGGAGGAGGGCTTGTGTAACTCCTCTTTCCTTCAATAACATCTCCGACCAGGACTCGGGCAAAAAACATAACGATGTTTTGGGGATCAGACTGGAAGTTTTTATGGGCAGTAATGGCATCTTTTGTAAAGTAATTTCCTAGAAATAATAAGAAAAAAAGGTTAAGAATTATTATAAAAGGAAGTATGTAGTTTATAACATTATTTACACACAATTAGATGACAGGCATTGGCTAAGCCTGCCATTTTCAACCGGTATGCCGCAAGAATTTTTAAAACATTCAATACCTGACTATTTAGTCAGGGGTGCTGACCTTTTCCCCCTTAGATTGTTAAATAAAAAAACAACAGCAGCCAACACAACCATAGCTGTCTGGTGTGGATGAATCAAAATTATACCTTTTTATTTTTCTTTTGGTGTGCCAAAGAATTTTAGCAATTAGTTTGTGTGTGCCATGACACGAAAAAGTTTGAAAAAAGTCACTGGACTAAGTATATGTCAACAATACCTGACTGATACTTACAAGCTTTCCTTTGTATTTATTTTTATTTTTATTTTTTTAATATATTTTATTGATTTTTTTACAGAGAGGGAGGGAGAGGGATAGAGTTAGAAACATCCATCAGCTGCCTCCTGCACACTCCCTACTGGGGTTGTGCCCACAACCAAGGTACATGCCCTTGATCGGAATCGAACCTGGGACCGTAGAGTCTGAGCCAAACCAGTTAGGGCTTTCCTTTGTATTTAAAGAGTGTTTATTATATTATTATACAAGTAAACTTGAATACAGTGCATAATCCTACTGGAATAACAGAAACATTTGCTAGTGTGCAGGGCTCACTGTGATGGTGAGAGCCACTGGGTGCAATGACCAAGTGGAGATATCACAATGATGCAATTCATGCAGGGTGAGTTGAATTATAACTGATGAACTAAAGATATTCCAGCAAAGGCCATTTAATATTGTAAGGGACACAGGTCATTTACTACTGATGGTAAGGTCGTGAAAAATGTGACAGGAAGAGGCATAGAATGGCAAGCCATTACCCTGGCAGAGCTTTTCAAAGACAGTTGATTCCTCATCCTCAACTCTAAAGCACCCTCTGATAATCACTGAGGTTTCCATACTCAGCAGATCAACAAGTTCCTAACAAATAAAATATTCCTATTTTTATTTTTATCAATGCCACATGCTTTTCTGCCCTTTTATATTATTTATTTTTTAAAATATTTTTATCGATTTCAAAGAGGAAGGGAAGAGAGAGAGAGATGGAAACATCAATGATGAGAGACAATCACTGATCAGCTGCCTCCTGCACGCCCCCCCACTGGGGATCAATCCTGCAACCCAGGCATGTACGCTTGACTGGCATTGAACCCAGGACCCTTCAGTCTGCAGGCCGACTCTCAATCCAGAGCCAAACCAGCTAGGGCCTTTTCTGCCTGTTTAAATGAAATGAGTATATATTGAAAAGTCTGATTTCTATGCAAAAAGTAATAGGAAAAATGAATCTGTAGTATTTATAGTAGTAAATGTTAAATACTTTTTTGCAAATGTTTATGATTTTTTGCTTTTTTTTAATAATTCAGATGTTTGAATTCATGAAATATTGCTTATCGTGAATAGGTACGCTACTGGGTATTCTGGGTAAATGATGTTCAACAATATTTAGAGTTAAAAATGACAGTCCGGCCCAGCCAGTGTGGTTCAAGTGGTTGAGCATCAACCTATGGACCAGGAGGTCATGATTCGATTCTCAGTCAGGGCACATACCTGGGTTGCAGGCTCAATCCCCAGTGCAGGAGGCAGCCAATCAATGATTCTCATCATTGATGTTTCTATCTATCTCCCTCTCCCTCTCCCTCTCCCTTCTCTGAAGTCAATAAAAAGTATTGCCCTGGCCCAGGGGTGGGCAAACTTTTTGACTCGAGGGCCACAATGGGTTCTTAAACTGGACGGGAGGGCCGGAACAAAAGCATGGATGAAGTGTTTGTGTGAACTAATATAAATTCAAAGTAAACATCATTACATAAAAGGGTACGGTCTTTTTTTTCAATAGTTTTATTCATTTCAAACAGGCCGTAGTTTGCCCACGGCTGCCCTGGCCGGTTTTGCTCAGTGGGTAGAGCGTAGGCCTGCGGACTGAAGGGTCCCAGTTCGATTCCGGCCAGGGGCACATGCCTGGGTTGCAAGCTCGGTCCCCAGTGTGGGGCATGCAGGAGGCAGCCAATCGGTGATTCTCTCTCATCATTGATGTTTCTATCTCTCTCTCTCCCTCTCCCTCTCTGAAATCAATAAAAATATATTTAAAAAAATAAATTATATATATATATATATATATATATATATATTTTTTTTTTAAATGATAGTCTGACTTTACTGACCTACCATTTCCACTCCCACTCTCCTTCCCAAACAGTTAACAGCTTGGTGGGAATTCTCTTACACACCTGTTCCTAGGCATGTACATACAGATATGCACATTTAAGCTAATATGGTTTTATTTTTATTTTTTCATAAATACAATCATGACTTGTAAAGACCTTTTTTTTCTGCTTTAGTCCTAGAAATCTTAGACTATCTATAGCCTCCCAAGCCTTTGCCACCGTGTCTCATCTTCATAAACACTCTTCTCAAATCTTTTTTTTTTTTTTTGCCCTAGCTGGATGTGATTTGTTCCACAAGTCACACTTAGACTTTCCAATATGCTGACTTTCTAAAATCTACTTTATTCAGGTTTTAACATTCAACTGGTATAACTGATGTAATGAGATAGTACTGTCAAAGACACTGTGCTGTGTTTTTCATTTCTTATGTTTTTTTGCACTTTTTTGATACATAACCATTTTTTATTTATCCAGACACATTCTTTGCCTCAGAGAGAATTAGAATCTTTGGAAGGAATATATAAGGAAAAAGAGAGAATCATAGTCAGCTTCTGACGATCAGAATGGGCTCTAGAAATGCACTGCAAAAAATAATGGGCTTTGTTAACTAGACAACACACGGAATAAGACCAAGTTAAACCCTTCATTAGCTTCCGATGCACTTAGGGTCATGTCCCAAATCTGTCGTGTGGCCATACTTTCCATCACTTGTCCCTGACTCTACATGCTGACTCACTCTAGATGGCAGAGGAACCCCTATCTGCCTTTCCTGGGGAACACCTCTCCAGCTGGGTTAGATGTCCACAGGACATATTCTTTTCCTCCCCAGAAGCTGCACATGCAATCATTTTATTAATCATGTGAAATAATTGGGGAGGGGAGGGCATGTCTAACTTGTTTACCACTGTGTCCCCAACATCTAGCATATAGCAGGTACTCAAAAATATTTGTTGACTGCCCAGGAGGGTGTGGTTCAGTTGCTTGAGCATTGCCCCATGCACCGAAAGGTTGCTGGTTTGATTCCTAGTCAGGGCACATGCCCAGGCTGCAGGCTCAAATCCCAGTAGGGGGCGTGCGGGAGGCAGCCAACTGATATTTCTCTCTCACATGGATGTTTCTCTCTTCCCCTCTCCCTTCATCTCTCTCCAAAATCAATAAAAACATTAAAAAAATCAATGAAAAATATTTGTTGACTAATTGGCTTTTTGCTTTTTTGAGGTGTGCGTGTATGATTTTAATCTTAGTTGTATGAATTGAGCCCACTTTGAACCTTGATAAACTATTATGTGTTCCTTTAAGACGAGAGAGACTTTGTTTTTTTTGTTGGTTTTGTTTCTAAGAATTGCAGGAAGGTGAGGAGCAAACAGAGAGAGCTGAAAAGACTTCATGTGTGGACAGACCTGTGTGACTTCAGTCCCCAGGGGACCCCGCATGGCCTGCAATGGGGAGGCCTCTGCTCCCATCTTTTATCAGAACCTCTTCGTGGCAATGGAGGCTACTTCCTGCGGCTTCTACGGGATGGACATGGTCAGAGAGAGCCACAGCCAGAACTGAGTAATAGCCAACAGGTGGTGTAGCTTGCAAGTGTGTATGAGATCCAAGAGTCTCAGAGAATTAAGGTGTTTCAGAAAAAAGGGAAGTTTTCTCTTCCGAAAACGGAAGACTGGAGCAGGACTCAGGTGTGGCCATCAGGTCCCAGGCCAACTTGCCACTCTAATTTGGGCACTTAAGGCAGGTGAGCTATTTTCTCTCCTTGACTACGGAAGTTTGGACTTTCTGGTTCATATAAAATAATCACACAACCTCATAACAGAAGCAACGCACAGCCCGCGTTATGACCTACGACCCAGGCTTCCCTATTCCAGCACAAACCTTTTCCATAGGTGCCTTCAGAAGTCCCATGCAAGATCCAGTCGAAATTATTCGCACAGATAGAATCTACGTGAGCGCGGTGTGTGGCACAAAATAGGTATTTTTCGGTGACCTTCATCTCCATTTTTTTCCTAACACAGGAAATGTGAAACTTAATACCGAGAACATTTCTTCTCCCACAATGGTTAACAACATTAATGCCAACTAGAGTCTAATTGCCTTAAAATGTCATTTCACCAGCGTTCAGAATGGAGCTACTGACATTAAGAAAACAGCTTTAGAAAACAAAATTGGTGAAAACTTTTAAATGACAGACACGTGAAATCATTGGATTACAAAACGAACACTGAAAGAGAGAAGCTCCAGTGTACACAATGAGAACTAGAGATCGAAGAAACTGCTGACTACTGAAAGAAACCAGGGACTATACATCTCAAAGGATAGGCCTCAACGAATCCCTGTAAACTCTTCGCGAAGAAACTTGATCACATGGCCACCAACCTTTGAAAAGTATCCAAGAGCTGCAGATTCTTGAGCTTCCTGATCTTCTCAATCTTGACGTGTTTCATCGTCGCTCTAACATACCCACTTACTTTGGCATATTCCGAGCCATAGCTATTGATCTCTGACAACTAAAAAAAAAATTTTTAAATGTAAAAATGTGAAACAGGACATATTTAAAGCATGCGATGGCCACATGTGTGGCCCCCTATGCCACTGAGTATCGTTGCCAGGCCTCTGACAGCAGGCGGGATAAGCTGGTTTAGGTTGCCCGGTCTGGCAGTTTATTCCATGGAACTAGTTGGCACTGGGCCTGTCTGTTCAGGCTGACGTGGCTAACGAAGCATTATGCAGAGAGGTAAAGGGAGACCCCCAAGGTGCGTGCCTTAGTCCAGTGACCTGGCGAGTTAAAGGCCATTGAAGGTGCCCTTGCAGCCCGAGCAAAGCAGCCTGTACCCCGAGCTTGAGCATGACGCGCAGCCTCAACGACCGAGGAAATCTCGCCCCAGCCGCACCAGGTGACGTGCTGAGGCACAGTCTGTGTGTCTCCCCTTGAAACCAGCCTTTGAACTCCAACTAGTGGACAAGTCACTGTCACTCTCCGAGTTCCCGTTTTCTCGCCCATAAAGTAAGGTACTAACACCTATCTCACAGGCTTGTCAGAGGGTCTGCCCAGTGAGATCCTGTGTGGCAGGACTCTGGAGACGACAAGGCTCCTGGGACAGGGCAGTCGTCCCTGGGAAAGTGACACCATCACCATTTAGCCGCCCACCTTTAAATCTTGACCCCAGAGTTTCACAGAAGCGATGTGTTCTTTCATTCAAACAAATACACACACTTGTAGCAAAGTGCTTTTCCCCACCTTCCCACAGCCACCCACGGAAAAGTAAAAACCAGGTACCTCATATCCATTCAATGGTGGGAAGGGAAGCTTCTGCTTAGGATGAAATACCGAGATACCAGGCTCTGGCAGGGTCTGTGCCGGCTGCGGGCTACAAAGAAGAGAGAGTAACAATTCACTTGCCCCCTGTCCCGTAGGCCCAAGTACTTTCTGTCCTTAACTTCCAGCCACTAAGCAAAGATTTCTCAGATAATTTTCTCCTGGTATTTTTCTCTCTTTTTTTGGACTACATCCCTACATATTTCTGATACAGATGTACCAGCACTCATGCTTTTTAAAAAATGCAGAAATTATTCCAACTTTGGTAAATTAATTAAATGCTATTTTCCCATTCACTTAAAGTGTAAAAAGCATTGATTCTTTTTTTTTTTTTTGCCAAAAGCCAGCATTGTATGCCAAAAGAGACACGTCATTTCATAAAATAAGAAACTGAAACTTAATTCCACAGTTATTAGGAAACTAAAACGCTCGTACTAATTTTTAACTATTTAAAGTCTAGACTATTAAAAAACAAGCAAACCATTTTCCAGTTCATATGTGATTCAAGGCCAAAAATACTGAATTTTAAAATGAAGTAAAACAGAAATTGAAAAATTACGCATAAATGTCCAACCAAATGACATTTTGTTTTTTACTTAAGGGGGACGGCGGGGGGAGAAGCAGCTTCTCAAATGGCTAAAATGAACATTAGAGGCAGCACTCCTGGAAGGATTTCAATCAGGACATGATGGTATGAGGCACCACCTTAACGTCAGTCTGCTCTTAAGTCTTCTTAAATGCAAAGCACGTGGGACAGGGGCAGGGAAGAACACACAAACACATTCAACTTTTCAGTTAACTGCTTTTCTCTTTCAAATTCCTCCTCTCCTTGCTGTTCCCTTCCCAGCTCTTCTTTCTGCCTCTTCTGCTGCAGTTTAGTGCTCTTTTTTTTTAACTTTTGATGTCTTTTTGTGAAGCACCAGCATTTCCTTCCTTATATTTACCAACTTGGCATGAACGCGTTTGGCTTCAGTGAACAAAGCATTAATATCTAACACAGAATGACATTCTTTAAATTTTGAAACCTCTTGTTCCCGTGGTTCTGCATGAGTTCCTGGAGGGCTTGTTTTGATCTCTGCAGATCCAGCAGGTAGTGAGAAAGCAATGCTTCTGCCAATGGCTCACAGCTTTGTCTTCTCCAGGCAGGTCCTCTATTAACCCTCCATCTGGAGAAGTGTCACTTAAACCCGGGGTCCGCTCCCCGGCCTCCCCATCAGGACCCCGTCCGACCGTGGCGGCCCAGGGACACTCATGTCCCTCCCGCTGGGAACTGGGCAGGGGCTCAGCACTGATTCTTCTTTTTTTTTTTTTAATATATTTTTATTGATTTCAAAGAGGAAGGGAAAGGGAGAGAATCGATGATTCAATGATAAGAGAGAATCATCGATCGGCTGCCTCCTGCACGCCCCCAACCGGGGATCGAGCCCGCAACCTGGGCAGGTGCCCTTGACCGGAATCAAACTTGGGATCCTTCAGTCGTCAGGCCAGTGTCCTATCTGCTGAGCCAAACCAGCTAGGGCTCTTTTTTATAGTTCTGCTCAACTTTCTAAAGTCCTAATTTGTTAGCAGTAAGTAAATGTGTCCCTCGGCTTTTTTGTCAAATGATAAACTTTTAAGGATATTAAATGTACAGGGGAAAGAATCCAGCTGCCTATGAACTGTATTTCAGGGTAACCATGCATGAGAAAAAGTCTTCTTTATACACAAATAACAGCTATTAGAGAAGAACTGAGAGAATTAGGAAAACACCATTTTGTAACCCCTCAGGCAATAATAGATCTACACAACAAAGAACATCAATAGCTCCTAAAACCATTGAGTAGGAGATCAGATAAAGAATGTTACAATGGACGGACCAGACTGAAATGACGAACCCACACTCCCATCTTCATCACTAAAGATAGGACAATCAGACATTACGGGACCTCTTCATAAAAAGTGACAAGAAGTAGAAAGCACCACTTATATAGTACTAGAGGCCTGGTGCACGAATTCATGCATGGGTGGGGTCCGGTTGGCTGGGACCGCGCCCCCTGGACAATTTGCATATTAACCTTTTATTATATAGGATTCTTCTTTTTTTTAACATGTTTTTTTTTTTATTGATTTTTTACAGAGAGGAAGGGAGAGCGATAGAGAGCTAGAAACATCAATGAGAGAGAAACATCGATCAGCTGCCTCCTGCACATCTCCCACTGGGGATATGCCTGCAACCCAGGTACATGCCCTTGACCGGAATCGAACCTGGGACCCTTCAGTCCGCAGGCCGACGCGCTATCCACTGAGCCAAACCGGTTTCGGCTATTATATAGGATTCTTGACCAAAAAGGGAACCTGGCCTAGCCAGTGTGGCTCAGTGATTAAAAGTTGACCCATGCACCAGAGGTCGCCAGTTCAATTCCCGGTCAGGAGACATGCCTGGTTTGCCAGCTTGATCCCCAGTAGGGGAAATGGAGGAGACAGCCAATTGATGTTTCTCTTTTATCAATGTTTCTATCTCTCTCTTCCTCTCCCTTCCTCTCTCTCAAGTCAATTAAAAACAAAACAAAAACAAACAAACAAACAAACAAAAAACCTAACTGGTTTGGCTCAGTGGATACAGTGTCAGTCTGCGGACTGAAGGGTCCCAGGTTCGATTCCAGTCAAGGGCATGTGCCTGGGTTGCAGGCTTGATCCCCATTAGGGGTCGTGCAGGAGGCAGCCAATCAATAATTCTCTCTCATCATTGATGTTTCCAGCTCTCTCTCTTCCCTTCCTCTCTGAAATCAATAAAGATATATTAAAAAAATAACTAAGAAAAAATTTAAGGGAACCTGAATCTAATCAGTCCTCTAAATCTAACCATTAATTCACAGAAATTACATGCAACCCCATGAGGATACAATCCGCTATATTTTGAATTTGGAAGATTCTATAGAACAAATCACCTGGTTTCTTAAAAAAAAAAAAAAAAGTGGCCTTAGATAGGTGGCTCAGTTGGTTGGAGCATTGTCCTATACACCAAAAAGGTTGCAGGTTCAATCCCCGGTTAAGGTTTAACAGAAAGGTCGAGGAGGAGACACTGTAATAGATTAAAATAGGCTTCAGAGACAAATCTAGAAAACGACATATTCATATGATGTTTGTTTTATTGTTGTTGTTTTTTGTTTGGTTAGTTTTTATTAAACCTCACCCAAGGGTATTTTTTCCATTGATTTTTAGAGAGAGTGGAAAGGAGGGGCAGAGGCAGAGAGAGAAACATTGATATAAGAGAGACACATCAATTGGTTGCCTCCCACACATGCCCTGACCAGGGCCGGGGCTTAAGCTTGCAATCCAGGTATGTCACTAATCATTGGAATCCAACCTGGGACCCTTCAGTCCTTGGGCTGATGCTCTATCCACTGAGCCAAACCAGCTAGGGCATTCATACCGTGTTTTGATACAAATTGGAATATATCAACTCGTTTTTGAGACAATGGGGAAAAATAGAACATGAACTAGATATTAGATGATATTAAGGACTCATTGTCAATTTTGTTAGATGGGTTAATGGCATTATGTAATGTTTTTAAAACAGACACACCTGAAGTATTTATAGTGAAATGATAGGATGTGTGAAATTTACATGATAATATTTCAGCAAAAGAAAAACTGTGAGATGATGGTGGAGATAGATGAAACAAGAATGATAAAATATTGACACTCATTGAAGTTGGGCTTCTTCAGATAACCCCCCAATAACACATTGGGATATACTGTACAATTTTCTCTACTGTAACTTTGAAATTTTCCATAATGAAAAAATTAAATTTAAAAATGCTTTAAGGGGGAAAAACTATCTAAAGACCTCTTTTGTAAAATGAATATTCTTTTGGAATGAGAAATTGGCCTCAAGGTAGCTGTACTCTAAACTCAAGATTTCCATACTGAATTTGTATAGGGAAGAGCAGATTAAACTGTTTTAAAGAGCCCATCAAGAAGGAAGTGTAGTATTTATTAGTTCATTTCCCTTTAGACTTCGCAGGACAGTACTCACAGCCCTATTTTATCCTTAAGCAAATGTGTCTCCTCCGGGCTTGTGATGGCAGGATTAAATCTGGTTCTCTACATGACCTCCCACCAACACGGCTTTCTTAATTCATTCTATTCACTCACTAACTTAGCTGTCCATTTAGTATCATTATATACCATTCATTATGTAAAATATTTCAAAAGAGTTGAGGAGCTGATCATTGTGAAGGAGAAGGAAGAGGCAGGGAGAGTTGGGCTAGGGAAGAGAGTTACACACATAACTGTGTTACAAGATAGAATGGGGTAAGAATTATAAGAGACTTACAATGTGTTTCTGGAGGGCAAAGGAGAGGATTGGGGACAGTACCAAGTAAGGTTTGTATGGGAAAGTGGCGTTCGAGCTGGGCCATGAAAGATGCTGGGTTCATGATTGATGGGGAGGATGTTCCCAGGGAAGTGGTACATGGAAATGTATCAGACATCTGTGACATGTAAACCTTTGAGACAATGAGCTGACTTCATAAAATATTTGGAAATGCCACAAACTAATTTCTTCCCTTGGAAGTATAGGTACACAGAAAAAACAACCCAGCTGGAAGTTGAAAAGGAAATGGGAGTATGGAAATGATTAAAAGGTCAGAACTATAGGTCGTAGTAAGGAATACAGTTTAAACAAATGTTGTCGAGACATCCTGCCAGAACTGAAGGAACAAGGAATAGCTACAATGCTCTCATTAGTTGCCAGATGAAAGGAGCACCCGCTCCCTGTCTTACTGCTCTGCTAAAGTATCACTAATTAAAGTAGTAAATTCTATTGTCTAGTCCACCAGATGTAGGCTTCATAAGGGCATCAACTTTACACCTCCCAACCCTGCAATATTTTTACTTTATTAATTTGAATATTTATAAAACTAGACGGGACCTTAGATGGCTAAGCCAACCTGATTCTTATTCTTGGGAGTCTGGATTAAGAAATTCAGAAGAGCCCTGGTTGGTGTGGCCCAGTAGTTGAGCATTGACCTATGAACCAGGAGGTCAACGTTCAATTCCCGATCAGGGCACATGACTGGGTTGTGGGCTCGATCTCCAGTAGGAGGTGTGCAGGAGGCAGCTGATCAATGATTCTTTCTCATCATTGATGTTTCTATCTCCCTCTCCCTCTTCCTTACTCTCTGAAATCAATAAAATATGTGTTTTTTTTAAAAGAAATTCAGAGGAAAACAATCCAATAAAAATGGGCAGAGGATCTGAACAGACACTCTCACAAGAGAATATACAGATGGCCAACAGAAATATGAAAAGATGTTCAATGTCACTAATCATCAGAAAATTGCAAACTAAAACAATAATGAGACATCACCTCACACCTGTCAGAATGGCTATCATCAATAAATCCACAATCAACAAGTGTTGGTGAGGATGTGGAGAGAAGGGACCCTTGTGCACTGCTGGTGATAACGCAGATTGGTGAAAAACAGCATAGTGGGTCCTCAAAAATTTAAAAGCCTTATGACCCAGTGATTCTTCTTCTGGATATATATTCAAAGAAACCCAAGACACTAATTCAAAAGAATATATGCACCCCTATACTCATTGCGGCATCTATGCTAATAAAAGGGTAATATGCAAATTAACCATCACTCCGCAACAAAGATGGAAGCGCCCATAGCCACAAAGATGGCGGCACCAGCTGGAGCCACGGAGCTGGGGTGACGAAGGAAGCCAGCATCCCACCCGGGATGACGAAGGAAGCCAAGCCTCCCGCCTGCCCGGGGTGATAAAGGAAACCAAGCCTCCCGCTCACTCCACCCGGCTCCATGGCCGCTGCCCAAGCCAAGCCTCCCGCCCGCTCCACACAGCTCCAGGGCGACCAAGGAAGCCAAGCCTCTGCCCGCTCCACCCAGCTTCATGGCCGCCGCCCAAGCCAAGCCTTCCTGGGGCGACGAAGAAAGCCAAGCCTCCCGCACACCTGGGCCGGCCACCGAGGGAGACATGCGGCAAGTGTAGTAGGGAGACATGCGGGGAGTGAGCAAGGTTCCCTGTCTGGGGGTTCCAAATCCACCATTGGTTCCTTTCACCACTGACTAGAGATATAAAGGGTTTCCCCCCAAAATGGATACACACTTTGAATACCTACTAATTCCAATGGGTTTAAGCATGAAAAGAAAGAAACAACAATGGAGCTGTCATCTGTTAACACATCGCGTACAGCTCAGGGGTTTTCTCGTGATTCGCGCGTCATCTGTTAAGGACCTTAGATGTCAACACGCTGTCTTGTCCACTGTGGGGCGCAGGTACAGAGTTTTGGCCAGGTTCAAGCCTCGGACTAATGAAAGGACAGGGTCCTCTCACTGCCACGTGCAAGTCCTAGCGGGAGGGCAGGGCCCTCCCAGCACAGTCATAGCCTACGGCTGTGGTTGTGAGCTTGAACCTATGGTCCGAACACGTAGCCCCACGTGCCTTGTGAAAGAGTTTAGGTGCATGTAGTTGAGTAGGGTTGAGACTCACGAGAATGCTGTAAAACATTGAAAAACAACACCTAAAGTGCTTTATGATCTGTAGTTATGATTATTTAAATAACGTGCAGTTTGCCCCAAAACGTGCAGACCCTGGCGCATGTCTTAGAGATTTCTATGCGGTAGGCAATGTGTTAAAAGTACGGGCACAAACCAGCAGTTGGATTGGAGAGGGTGCAGGCCGGACTGAGGGTTTCCCCCCCTCCCTGAACGAATTTCATGCACTGGGCCTCTAGTTATCAGTCAAGATATGAAAGGAACCCAAGTGCCTATCAATAAACAAGTGGATTAAAAAGTTGTGGTACATATCTACCATGAAATATTACTCAGCCATAAAAAAGATTAAAATCTTCCCATTTGTAACAGCATGGATCTAGAGCAGGAGTCCTCAAACTTTTTAAACAGGGGGCCAGTTCACTGTCCCTCAGACCGTTGGAGGGCTGGACTATAGTTTAAAAAAAAACTATGAACAAATTCCTATGCACACTGCACATATCTTATTTTGAAGTAAAAAAACAAAATGGGAACAAATACAATATTTGTGTTTGCATGTGGCCCGCAGGCCGTAGTTTGAGAACCCCTGATCTAGAGGGTATTATGCTAACTGGAATAAGTCAGTCAGTGAAAGACTAATACCATATGATTTCACTTATATGTGGAATCGAAAGAACAAAATAAATGAACAAACAAAATTGAAACAGACTCATAGTAGACACAGAGAGCAGACGGATGGTTGCCAGAAGAGAGGAGGGTTGGGGGGCTGGATGAAAAAGGTGAAGGGATAAAGAAGTACAGATTGGACCCGGCCAGTGTGGCTCAATGGTTGAGCATCAACCCATGAACTATGAGGTCACGGTTTGATTCCCGGTCAGGGTACATGCCCGGGTTGTGGGCTCGATCCCCCGTGTGGGGTGTGCAGGAGGCAGCCAATCAATGATTCTCTCTCATCATTGATGTTTCTAGCTCTCTCTCCCTCTCCCTTCCTCTCTGAAATCAGTAAAAACATTTTTTTTAAAAAGGAAGTCCAGATTGGAAGTTATAAAATAGTCACTAGGGATGTAAAGTACAGCATAGGGAATTATAGTCAATATTGTAATAACTGTGTCCTGTGCCAGGTGGAGAGTGGAAATATCAAGGGGAAGACTTTGTAAAGTATACGATTATCTAACCACTATGCTGTACACCTGAAACTAATACAAAATAATATTAAGTGTAAACTGTAATTGAAAAATAAAATTTTGTCATTTCAGCAAAAAAAGAAAAGAAAAAAGAAATTCAGAGAACATTAGGCAGTAGTGGCAGAAAGTTAAGCTAAAGGGATATGAAGACTGAAATTCTGAGGTTAAAATGGTCTGGCAGTAGCCAGAGAAAAGCATCTGGAAATCCAATGTGGTTCAGTTTGCTGGGCTACATCCCATACACCAAAAGGCTACAGGTTCAATTCCCGGTCAGGGCACATGTCCGGGTTGCGGGTTCAGTCCCTGGTAGGGGAAATGCATGAGGCAGCTGATTGATGTTCTGCTCTCACATCAATGTTTCTTTCTCTGTCCCTCGCTCTCTAAAAATCAATAAAAAAAAAACTTAAAAAAAAAAAAAAAAGTCAGGGCTGTTAACCTGGTCACATGAACAGGTACAGGCAAGGACCTGTGAGCCCAGGCTGCTCAGGTTCTAAAGCAGAATTGGAACCGACTTCCACTCCTGAGGCCTGACATAGCTCAGTTCTTCCCATCCTTGAACTTTTGTAAAATGTTTTCCTTATTACACCATGTTTATTCTTTTTTTTTTTTAAATATATTTTATTGATTCTTTTACAGAGAGGAAGGGAGAGGGATAGCGAGTTAGAAACATCGATGAGAGAGAGAGAAAAACATCGATTCAGCTGCCTCTTGCACGCCCCCCACTGGGGATGTGCCTGCAACCAAGGTACATGCCCTTGACCGGAATCGAACCTGGGACCCTTCAGTCTGCAGGCCGATGCTCTATCCACTGAGCCAAATCAGTCAGGGCACCATGTTTATTCTTTAACTAATTCCCTCTTTCACGAAATATCTTAATTCCTACCACCAAAAGAACCTAATTAGAACACTTTGATTTTGCACCCGCCTTGAAATGTTTCTTTTTGTTTGTTTTGTCTTGTTTTAAATATGTCTTTATTGATTTCAGAGAGGAAAGGAGAGGTAAAGAGAGAGAGAAATATCAATGATGAGAGAGAATCGCCAATTGGCAGCCTCTTACACACCCCCTACTGGGGATTGAGCCAGCAACCCAGGTATGTGCCCTGACCGGGAATCTCAACCACTGAGGACACCGGCCAGGCTTGAAATCTGTTTTACGTAATCACACATCACTCCGAAAAAAAAATCCAACTCCAAAAATGTTCATGGATAATGCAGATTTTACTGAGTTTCATGAGCACACAGAGGAGAGTTACATTGAATCCCCCACAGCAAAGTTTCCTTTAAAAATCCCCTTTGTCAACTTTATCTTTCTCCAAATCCCCTTGCTCAGCTACCTCAACACTTTTTTCTTTCCATTTCTTCCACAGCCTCCCACCTTTATAAATTCTCTCAACAAAACTAAGGATACACACAAGAACCCACAGCAAAACCACACTCAGCGCTTTTGACCATTTTCTAGGCACACCCCAGTAATCCAGCCATTCCCAGCTACGGAAGCTGAGCCCCAGGGGAGTGAAGAGATTTACCCAAAGTCCCCTATAAGTTAGAGATAGATGTCCTACGCTAGTATTCCTCCCATCACACTGTGCTGCTTCAAAACACCTCACTCACAGGCAATGCAAAAGGGAGCTGCAATGGAATGCAAGCAGGAACATCAAGACAACAGGCTCCCGCCCAACCGCTGTGGCTCAGTGGTTGAGCATCGATCCATGAACCAAGAGGTCACCAGTTTGATTCCCAGTTGCTTCTACCTCTCTATCCCTCTCCCATCCCCTCTCTCAAAAATCAATAAAAACGTATCTTAAAAAGAGAAGAAAACAGGCTCCAAACTCGAGTGGGTCGATGGGATCAGTGTGTGACCGCCGCAAACACCTGCCAGCAAGCACTGCCTCAAAACACTTACTCTGGCCCTCTTTTCATCTGCGCCACATCCCGGGCAGACACAAATGTTGGTCTTCTGGCAACATCCTTTTGGGTCTTGGAAATGATGTTTGTCTGCATCATCCCTTTAGACAGAAAAAAAGAAAACCAACAAGAATTAAGGGTTAGTCCTAGAAAATGATTTATTGTTATTTTTCAGAGGCTAGTAAAACAGCAAATATTCATGTCTGACCAGTATATGTATAAATAGAGGAAAGACTTTTGGATGGAAATTGCTCATGATAAAAATTTGTAAACTTCACTGCCCTTTTTATAAGACCCAGAAAACAAAGATGTAAATAGCATTTAGCAATGAATCTAATCTTAGCAATAAATCTGGTGGTAAAGAAGAGAGCTAGGGTAGCCAGATAACAAGACATCATCCATGTGAGCTGCCCTAAACCAGGCATTAATGATTATATATCACTAGAGGCCTGGTGCATGCAATTCGTGCACTGGCGGGGGGGGGGGGGTTGTCTCTTAGCCCAGCCTGCGCCCTCTTGCAGTTCAGGACCCCTTGCGGGATACAGCAGTGCACCAAGCAACAGGTGGTCAGGGAGGAGCCGGCCTGGTTGCCCCCAACTACCCCCCCTGCCGGCCTGGTTGCCCCTAACTGCACCCCCACCGGCCTGGTTGACCCACACAGCCTGCTGTTCAGTCGTTTGGTCGTCCCTCACTAACCCCCCTGCCGGCCTGGTCGTAGGCAGCCATCTTGTGAGGGTGTGAGGGTTAATTTGCATATTACCTCTTTATTATGTAGGATTACATGACATAATTATATATTTTGAAGGTTTTTTTCTACATGAAGTATGAAATGCCATTTTCTTTTTTAAAAATATATTTTATTGATTTTTTACAGGGAAGAAGGGAGAGGGAGAGAGAGTTAGAAACATTGATGAGAGAGAAACATCGATCAGCTGCCTCCTGCACGCCCCCAAGTGAGGATGTGCCCGCAACCAAGGTACATGCTCTTGACCGGAATCGAACCTGGGACCCTTCAGTCCGCAGGCCGACACTCTATCCACTGAGCCAAACCGGTTCGGCTGAAATGCCATTTTCAATTCATGCATGCTGTAGACCTAGATCCAAGCTTTAACCAGAGTGATTGCCTTGAAGAGGAAATCCTTGTATATATTGCTACAATGATTTCCTTTTCGTATAAACATGCACTGCCTATGTGATATAGCAATCCCACTCCTTGGTATTTACCCAAGAGAAATGACATCCTGTATCTACACAAAGACTTGCAGTTGAATGTTCCCAGTAGCCACCCAAATACCCATCCAGAGGTGAATGGATAAACACACCATGATAGATCCTGACCATGGAATATTACTCAGCAACAAAAAGGGAAGAACTACTATACATGCAACAACATAGCTAAATCTAAAGGACATCACTGAGAGTGAAAGAAGCCAGCTGTAGACCCAGCACACACTAAAAGACTCTCTTGACAGGAAGTTCCAGAATAGATCGAACAAATTGATAGTGACAGAAAGCAGAGCTGCTGGAGGCAGGGGAAGACTCGTGGCAAAAAGGCATGAGGAAACTTCTTCGACTGTTGACGCTGTTCTCTATCCTGATGAGGAGAGAAGTTGCATGCACTTGTCAACATTCATCCAATGGCACGCTCAAAATGCATGCACGTCATTGTAGCAAATATGACTCAGTATAGTTGATGTAAGATGAAACAAAGATACACAACAACAAAAGAGCAAACAGGGCAAATCGGATCACGTCACAACCTTCTCCTGATTTCCGGCTCATAAAACATCCAAGTTTCTGTGCCTGCTCTCGTCTCTCACAGACCTTCTTGCTGTTCTTTGAAACCTCAGGCTTGTCTACAGCTGACAGCTGAAGTGCTGGTCTTCCCTCTCCTGGTGGGCTGCACCCCCCCTTTCAAAGTTTCCTCCTCCCATAAAAGCAGGCGCATCCCAAGACTCCCCCATTCTCTCGCTGCTTCACCACATTGCTTCTTTTCCCCGTGGCTGTGAGCACTTTCTGGAAATGCCTGGCTTGCCCACGGCTACAACAGTGCCTGGCACGCAGCTGACGCTCCAATATTCGGTTCATGAATGAGAGAATGTAAGAATAAGAACTAAGAGAAAAGGAGTCCGGACCCTGTAAACTGCTCTGAACTGCTTTCTCTGTTGCAAGTGAACAAGATTACTGATCAAATTGCTCCAGACGGAGGAACCTGGAACATTGGTTTTCTTCTTTGACAAACTCTAAATGATAGACTACCAACCAAGGGGGAAAATGTTTAAGCCATTTTTCATTTCATCATCCAACAGAAGAGATTTTTACTTATCTCTATTGCCTTCTAGTCTTGGTCCCATTACATACATTGCTGCACTAGCATGCACATTACATTTTTAAATCTTTCCCGTTTTTGTACTACTATTTGTAATACTTTAAACAATAAAAATTAAATAAAAAATAAAGATCTTTTCCATTTTAGATTCTTCAGCATACAAATAGGGAAGTGCAGAAACAGAAATTGGGGGTCCTGCCTTTTTCATTTAACAATTTCAATTTTTGCTTTTACTAGTTTTCATAATCAGAATTTTAACAAGTACCCAATACTCCACTAAAATGTAATGCCCAATTTGTTGAGTCATGTCCTGTTTTAGTTCTTTCGGTAAGGCTGCAATAAAGACCTTCTTGCCTACAGCTTTTTATTTTTCTTCCAATGAAGTATTTCCTTAGAAAAATTCCTGAGTGCTCACTTCAGTAGCACACATACAAAAATTGGAACAATACAGAAAAGATTTGCATGGCCCTGTGCAAGGATGACCCAGACATTCGTGAAGTGCTTTATATTAAAAAAAGAAAGAGCCCGGCCAGTGTGGCTCAGTGGTTGAGCATCGACCCATGAATCACGAGGTCACAGTTCGATTCCCAGTCAGGCCACATGCCCGGGTTGTGGGCTCGATCCTCAATGGGGGAGGGGGGACGGCGTGCAGGAGGCAGCCAATCAATGATTCTCTCTCATCACTGATGTGTCTATCTCTCTCTCCCTCTCCCTTCCTCTCTCTCTCTAAAAATCAATAGGAATATTTAAAAAGAAATAAAGAAATATTCCTGAGAAGATGAAAAGCCAAGCACATTTTACTATTCCTTGATATGTATTGCCAGGTTGCTTTTCAAAAATCCTATATAATAAAAGGCTGATACGCAAATTGACCAAACTGGGGACAACTGGTCGCTATGATGTGCACTGATCACCAGGATGCAGACGCTCAGTGCAGGAGCACCATTCAGCCAGAAGCCGGGCTCACGGCTGGTGAGCTCAGTGGCAGTGGCGGCAGTTTTTCTCGCCACTGCGGCAGTGCTAAGGATGTCCAACTGATGGCTTAGTTGGACATCCTTAGTGCTCGGGGAGTGGGCCTCAGTAGGACATCCCCCAAGGGCTCCCGGACTCCAAGAGGGCACAGGCTGGGCTGAGGGACTGCGCGTGCCGCCCCCCACCGCCCCGTTCCCCCACCCCCAGTGCATGAATTTCGTGCACCGGGCCTCTAGTGTTGGTATAATAGGTCCTTCAAAGCTACACTAGTAATGAGTACAGAGTCCAAATCTCAGGTACCATCTGGGCATTTTGAGGACTTGAGCAAGTCTCCTTTACCTCTTACAGAGCACCTGCAGGGCAGGTCCTGAAAGACCAAGAATGTGACCATCTGCAGGGAGTGTCCCAAGGGTGCAGCTAAGGGCCCACATAGTCATAGGGAAGGCAGTGCTGCCCTGATTTCTTACTAAACACACAGACAGAGGGGTAGAAGCTGACCATGGTGGCTGAGATAAACACAGCCACAGGCAGATCTTTAGAAAACGTAATGGAGAAACCGAACAGTGACCTAGAGGATGACGCCTGAGAGGATCAGCAAGGTTCTACTACCCTGAAGGCACCCACAGGCCCAGGGTCTCCACTGTCGTCATCAGCACCTGAAAATTATGCCTCAGCTGGGAAGCAGCATGCCCAGAATCTGAAACTTAGAATGGTGACGCTGGAAGTAACCCCCAGAAACCACTTAGCCCAATGCCCCCATTTGACAGATGAGAGAACTAAGGTCGAGAGAGGCCAGGGGCTGCTCCCGGGGTTACATAGCTACTGTATGTCAGAGCCAAGACTAGAGCATGGGTCTTCTGATGGCCATTGGCTTCCACACCACACACTGCTGGTCTTGCTAAAAAGAACCCTGAACCCACATCCTCTGAGCTGCCCCCTGCATGTCCACTCATGCCCATTCCAGCGACGGGCACCACTGCCAAATGCAGACTCTTACCTTGGAAACTCAACTCAAAGTTCTCAGAACCCGCCTGAAACGGCACAATGCCCCTCGGAGAGCAGAGGAAGACAGACTCCAGGTATGAGGAATCGATGCTCGAAATTTGCCGACTGTCACCCTAATTAAAAAAAAAAAAAAAGTAAAGACTTTTAAGTAATGGTAGGCTTTTAAGTAATCTCTACCACTGTATCTTACATAATTTTATTTTAGCCCTGGGATCTAAAGAGGGATTATTTTGCCTCCCAGACCAGATCATAAAGGCTCCCCTTTTATAGTTTCCCCCATCCCAGGACCAGGAGAGAACAGTCTACCCTGTAGGAACTACACTTAGTGGATGCTGGAAAAATATAGCTCTTCACAATAATATTTTTTAAGTATATTTTTATTTATTTCAGAGAGGAAGGAAGAGGGAACATCAGTGATGAGAGAGAATCATTGATCAGCCATCTCTTGCATGCCCCACACAGGGAGATTGAGCCTGCAACCCAGGCATGTGCCCTTGACTGGAATTGAACCTGGGACCCTCCAGTCTGCAGGTCAATGCTCTTCTAGCCACTGAGCCAAACCACTAGGGCTGCAATAATCTTTTTACACCTTCCATAAAATATGACCCAAGTGTACCGAGCAACTCAGACCCACCGTACGGACATCGTGTCTGCCCTGATCACAGAATCCAGCACTCTAGCACGAAGGAGACCCCGGTGGCTCTATTAGCCCACCACATGAGAAAGCAGGGTGAGCTGTGGTGAAGGCAGGTAAAGCTCCAGTGGGTGCACTGCTGTCCAAATGTAAATGGCCCATCCCTCCTCCTCTGCGCCGAGCCAGAGTAAGCAAATACAATGGACTACGTCTCTACTTAGTCCACAACACTGAAAAAGCACTTGAATTTGCCACTGACAGGGACTATATGAAGGGGACTAGAAGTACCCCTGAAATATCAAGACATACTTCTCAGGCCTCAAGACATTTATGAAGGGTCTGAAATCAGAACAGTGGGTAAAGGGAAGTATGTCGACTCTAGCAAGGGGCCAGGGGTGGCCCCCGTTGCACTGTCCCCATCTACGGCAGGGGTGGCAGCCCACGGCAGACTGGATGAAAGACCCTATTAGCAGATATTGTACTCGTCACTTCTGACTGGTTCTTTCTTGTGGTTTTTATGTCCTTTTTAATGCTTACTGTCTCTTTCAAGTTCTCACTGAGATCACCCACTCTTCCCACCTTTAATCTCTGGAACCCTGATGTCATTAAAATGCAAATATTCCCCAATGCTTTTCCCTTAGCTTACTGAAAATTTCAATTATTTGGCATAAGAACCATTGAGACCTATAGTTTATTTTAACCAAAGCTAATTAACTTGACTTCGTCATTTCTATTTCCACGGGCACCTCACAGAATCACTTTTAAGAAACTGCACTTTGCCCTAGCTGGTTTGGCTCAGTGGATAGCGTCGACCTGCAGACTGAAGGGTCCCAGGTTCGAATCTGATTAAGAGCACATGCCCGGGTTGTGGGGCTTGATCCCCAGTAGGGGCGTGCAGGAGGCAGCCGATCAATGATTCTCTCTCCTCATTGATGTTTCTCTCTCTCTCTCTCCCTTCCTCTCTGAAATCAATAAAACTGTATTTTAAAAAAAAGAAGCTGCATGTTGACATCATCCTTGGCTTGACCATTAGAACCTGTACAAAGCTCAACATCATGGGAGAGTTCACCCCAAGGTGCTCCAGAGGCCAGCGCAGCAGAGAGGCGACAAAGGGGTCAAGACACCAAGCTCTGAGCCCCTATCCTATTCCCCAGGGAAGCTAAGTTCTGTTACTCCGTGCGCTCGCTGGGGTTCCGGGAAAGGTTGTTTGATAACCTGTACGGAGATGAGGACAGCTGGGAAGCCATGGGCTACGGGAGTGACTTGGGAGAACCTCTCGCCACAGCACCCACGGTCCCTTCTACCCAGCCCCGTGGCAGATGTTTTTCTCAGGCCCCATTAACAGAAGAGTGGCGCTGCTCCTGAGGAACCGGTGTGTTCCTCCCAGGGAGACACAGGGATCCCGTGACAGCTTGCCTCTGTTTGCTTTGGCAGCCAGACAGCTCAGGGCCAGATTCACGGCTCATCAACCTCTAACTATGCCGAACCTTACGCTGGTGTTCCCTGTGCCCGTTTTGTCTTTGGCTTTACCTTCATCTCTTGCTTTTTTTTTTTTTTTTTATCTCTCTCTCATGACTCTGCTTTCATTTGCTGCGTCAGTGTGCTCCCTCTCTCTCTTTCTCTCTTTTTTTAAAAACATACTTTTATTGATTTCAGAGAGGAAAGGAGAGGGAGAGAGAGAGAGAAACATCAATGATCAGAGAGAATCATCGATCGGCTGTCTTCTGCACGCCCCACACAGGGGATTGAACCCGCAACCCGGGCATGTGCCCTGACTGGGAATCGAACCATGACCTCCTGGTTCATAGGTCAATGCTCAACCACTGAGCTACGTCAGCCGGACTCTCTTTCTCTCTTTTTAATCCTATGAATCAAAAAGAGGAAGGGACACGAGAGAGAAGCTCTGCTTATCTAAATGTCTACCCCAATGGGCATGTCCCTATGTGGGTACGCCTCAAATGTTCCAGGCCCACCTTCTCAAGTCCCCTGAATTCAGACAGGGAACCCTAGCGACCCTCTGTGTCAGCCTGCTGATCCTACACTCTCCCTGTTTTCTGGCGGGAAGCGTGATCTGTACAGTTATGCACTAATACATAGAAAGCTATCTCAAGGTCCTAGCCCAGTCCTTGATAGTGAGGGTAGAGGGGCATGCAGCGGACTCACATCTCAAGCGATTTCTTAAAAATAATGTATGTCTTTGTTTATAATTGCAATCACAGCACATGCCTGCGAAAACAATGCCGATACAGTTGTGTATGCTGTGAAAAGCACCCCGTCCTCCACCACACCCACTCTCCATGGGGGACCATGGAGGCGTCAAACACGTTAGTCATGGTTCTCTCCTGGAGTTGGCAAGTTTAAACACGCGCCTCCAGGGGAGGAAGAGAACTCACCTTCTCCCCATACGGAACCCATCTGTGACTTCCACTCTTCCAATACCAAATCCATTTTGTGGTGAAGACAGAATTATCCGGCAGTGTGACGGACGACGGTGTGGAGATGCGTCGGATGGGATCAGAACCACAAGTCATTTTCTGGAAATTGATTTTTAAATTTCCGAAAGGTATGCTGACGAGGGGGGAAAGTTTAAAGTTAATCAAAATGCTTCACTGACCTCTGTTTTCTACAATCCGGTCTTCCCTAACAAAAGCACAGAACTGATATTTTAGAGCTGAAAGGGATCTTCAGATGTTCTTGATACACCTGCCGGTCTTACCACATAAAAGAAACAGCTAAAACACAGAGAGGTAATGTCACTTGCCTACCCCACATATTCAGTGGTATCACAAAATGCATTCTTTCCTCAAAAACTCTCCCAAATAAGATGGTTCAGGGTTAGAAAGTGAGTTAGAAACTCACAGTAGGTCAGTTTTTCAATTGTTTATCAAAAGACCACTTCACAGGTAATAATATTTTCATAATATTAAGACATTATGTGCCTTTTTCACTTACGTACACTCACAGGTGCACAGCAGAGTTTTCAAGAGGCCACATCATGTGTGATTTCAAAATAGATTTCCCAAAATATAAAACAATGTCGTTCTTCTCAATGAATTTTTGTTTTGGAAAACGGTTATTTTTAGTTATACATATCTATAGCTATAATTATGTGCACAAAACTGTATAATTATATAAATGTAGTTAAATATTATTCATATTAACATGTAATGAATTTACTCTTAAATGAATCAATAATTTGTCTCAGTTTTGATTTTTACTATGATAAATGTGGATAGCTATAATACATATAATCAGAAGCTCTTTGGGATCCTCTATACATTTTAAGACTGTAGAGAGGTGGGTCCTGAGACTAAAAGGCTTGAGAATTATTGCTCCAAGAAGCACCTCCTTGATCAGTGGTTGTCAACCAGGAATGATTTTGTCCCCAGGGGGACATTTGCAATGTCTATAGACATTTTGGTTATCACAACTGACATCTAGTGGTTAAAGGCCAGCAATGCTGCTACACCAATCCCTTCCAAAAAATTATTATTTATTTTTTTTTCTGGCCCAAAAGTAAATAGTGCTAAGGTTAAGAAACTCTACTTCAAATTTATCTGGGGAGGGGGCGAAATTCACCTACAAACAAGAAAATAGCTGATGCCGCCCTCTAGTGGCCAAATGCAGCAGCAGAATCTCCACCAAAAATTCACTAAACTTGCAGATGATGAAATGTATGAGATCTGTTTTCCCCCCCAAGGAATTTCCTTATTAAACTAGGATGCATCTTATAAATATTGTCATATGTGGTATCACCTATTTCAGCCCTGACAGAATCAGAGATATCAGGGTCTAGGAGAAAGAAAACAGAAAACAAAAAGGAAGTTATAAAATGCTAAAAGTTACAACAAAATTCTGCACTGGAACTGTATGAAATTGCTCAAATCATATTCTAAAACTGTGAAATTAAGCCAAAGGCTCTTTTGAGGTAATCATTTAGTACTTTTAATAGTTCTTCCATAAGCTGGTAGAAATATAAACCGGCCTCTGCATGGTGTTTATTTGCACGACACAATGACAAATATTAACTAAACTAATAATCGTGTCATGTTTACTTTGCGTGAATCAGCAAATATTCTCAGAATCCCTAGCATTATCCAGGCTCTGCGTGACTTCAGATCCACTCTTTTTTTTTTCCTTAACTCAGTAGGCGTTTGCTGTTTTTATCTAAAACTAAACGGGATTCTGAAGGAAAATTGTGTCTTCTTCCCATAAGCCTAACACTATGCTTTCCTTTGATGATATTGTGAATCTCACAAGCCAGAGTCCAGCCACCAACTTACATGCAGATTTGGGGGTCACAATAGGCCTTCTCAATACTCTCCATGGGCTGGAGGTCCACCCAGGTGTTGGCATTCATCACCTGCCACCGGTATGGCAGGTGGAAGTGAACCTTGTTGCAGCCTTCTACAAAGAAAGAGAGGAGGGTTCAGTGGGACTGTAACCAATTCAACTAAGGCCGTTCCCATCGAGGCCTGCCTTTCCCACGCAGCCAAGACCGCATGCAGGCACATGCTGTCTCCACCTTTGCTCATGCTGGCTGCTGCCTGCACTGCCCCATAACCGTATTTCCAGGTTCCTTTATCACCCACAGAGACTCATCAGAAAACAACAATTCTCTACTCCCCAAAAAGTCCCTTTACCCACATGAAGATCTGAGGTCATTCTAAATGTACAGTTACCTTTTGTATCTCTCCCTCTCCCTTCCTTTCTGAAATAAATAAATATATATATTTAAAAAATCTATGTTATATGTATTTTATGACAATGAAAAAGAAAATTTTAAGTTAAAGACTTTTGATTTAGAGAGCACAGGGCAGAATCCTCCTCTTCAAAGGTAAAAAACCAAGTGATCAAGCAAACGAAATCAGACATGATGTCCAAGCCTGGGACAGAGGAAGGAAGGGAAGAAGAGATATAAAAGTGAGAGGACAGGAATTTGTCCAAGCACAGTCTCACGGGAATAATTTCTATAGGAAGCCTGATGGGAGGGGACAGTGACCAGGTGGCTCTTCAGCTGGAATGACCAACAGATGACTGGGCCTGTGGAGCACAGGTGTCTTTAGTATGCATGGCCACAAGCGAGACAATAAATATATATATAAAAGGCTAATATGCAAAGTGTCCCCTCGGGAGTTCGACTGGGAGATCAGGAGTTCAACTGCTCACGATGACATGTGCTGACCACCAGGGGCAGTGCGGAATGAAGGAAGACCCAGGCCAGCAGCCAGAAGGCCCCAATCGACCCTGATAGCCGGCCAGGCCTAGGGACCCTACCCATGTATGAATTTTGTGCACCGGGCCTCTAGTGCTAAATAATGACAGGAAATGAACTTTGAAAAGGGTGTCTGCTAGGATTCCTTTGTTTTTTGAATTTGTTGTTCATTTGCTTGTTTTTAGTACATGAAAAGATAGGTCCCTGAATGAGCATAATATTTCACCTAAAACTGAATTGCAAAAGAAGAAAGTATAATAGCATGCACTGGTGAAGAACACAGGCAGGCTGGGCAGTTTAGGGTCAAAATCCAACCTGGCTACTTGTACATATAAAGTCGTAACATCTGCATGCCTCCAGGTTCCCCATCTGTAAAATGGGTTAGCAAGAGAACCTATTTCTAGGGTTGGTGTAAAGTTTAAAGAAGATGCATGTAATGTTCTTAGCATTGCGCCTCACACATAGTAAATGCTTAGTAAATGTTAGCCATGCCACTATTAATAGTTTCTACTTCTAGAAAGACCTTAAGTTACTCACTATATAGACAACTGTTATTCAGATGGTCAAGACAAATTTCCTTTGAACCAGGATCATCCATGGTATTTGTGACGTCAGATACAGAATCTGTAAAACAGAAGAGGAGGCATGTAATCTGATCTTAATTTTAAACCAAAAATCAAGGCACCGGATCTCACAGTGGGAGAGAATATCCCAAACTGGGCCATGGTCAAGAAAATTCCTGATTGATGTGTTGCTCATCACAAGTCCTCCATAAAAACAAACGTGAACATTAGGGTCACATGACAGCAATGTTGACTTCTTAAACCATGGTCCAACTACTCCTGTTCTCAATATATGTAGCGGTTTATTCCATACTCTTCTACTGGTAGGTCCTTCCACCTTCTAAGTCAGTCTCCTTACCAGTACCACCCCTTAACTCAAACCCTCTACAACTCGCTGCCCTTTAATAACTGCTGGGGAACATCCTAAGCAAAACTGCCAGCCACAGGGGCTCTGCTGCAGACACGACATGGGGCCCCTTTTGTCCTTCAGTGACTTACTCAACGCACGGCCGGGTGTCCTCCGGGCAAGCTCGCTGGCAGAGGTGACAGGCATTTGAGCAGGGTTCTGAACATGGGCCGCAGGGGCTGTAGCTCCATTGTTTGAGGAAGGCGTCACAGGTGGTACTTTGGACACAGTGCTCACTAATGTGTGGGCAGTGGTCTCCCCCAGTGTGCGCAGGGCCTGGGGTCTCAGATTCTGACTTGCAGAGCCTAACACATCTTTATCTACCCTGACTCTGACTGCCGACGTTAAGTCAAAATCAGTGGCATCAGTAGATTCAAATGTAACTTTAGTCGAGCCATTTGTTGTGTTGTGGAAAAATACCTGCTCTCTGTGTTTACCATCATCTACAATGATGGGGTCCAGAGTAGGGTGAGTGGTTCTGATTTCCTGATTCCTAGGTAATGAATTTTCTCTCTGCCTACTGGTTGCGGTTTTGTAATTTAAAGATCTCGTGGACATGGTGTCTGTGGCCATCCCATCCAAATTATTATTAGAAAGTGGGAAATGCTGGGCTTCTGGATTCCCACTTCTGCCCTCGACATTCGTGTGGCCCGGGGACAGCATGCCCACACCTTTTCTGGTGGTCACGGTGTTAGGTGTTTGCAGAGAACCAAGAGGAGAATATGAGGCAGCCTGACTCGGAGAAAACAAATTCTCTCTACTGGTGCCTTGGTCATTCGGCCAGGATGTGGGCACCTTCTGGTTGAAAGTGGGTGTCAAATCAGAAGTGAGGTGACTGCTGGCTGTACTGTCATAGAAGAGGTCCTCTAGATTGCCATTCTCTGAAAACTTCTGGGTTCCTCCCACTGGCCTGCTTCCTCCCAGACTGGTGGCCTTGGGTGAGGCTGAGGAAGGCTGAGGGCCATCTTGACTTCCCAAATGCTTGAACTTGCAGGTGAGATCCTCTACAGGCTCATCATCCTGGGGAGACCTGCGGCCGATCTGATCTGCACTGGGTGTGCTGGGTGTCTCAGTTGAAGCTGGGGCAGATGGAAGGAACTCCTGATTGACCAGAAAGAACCGATCTCTACTCTTGCTTCTACCTCTCGCTGCTGGGTCCCGGTTACGTGCAGGACCTAGGAAAAGACAAAAACAATGAAAAGTAGCATTAAAATGATTGAGTTCTTTTTAAAATATATATATATATGTTTCTATTGATTTTAGAGAGAGAGGGAGAGAGGGGGATAGAGAGATAGAAACATCAATGAGAGAGACATTGATCAGCTGCCTCCTGCACGCCCCCACTGGGGATTGAGCTCGCAATCTGGGCATGTGCCCTGACTGGGAATGGGACCGATCACCTTATGGCTCATGTTCGACATTCAACCATTGAGCCTCATCACCTGGGAAACATGATGGAGTTCTGACCACTATTCCTCTCAGCCTTCCCAGGTTTGCTATCCATGTTCTATCAAATTACTTATCCTAACGTGCTGTGTAAAACTCCTGAGAAGGGCACTCATGGTGATGAAGGCATCCTGCCATTCCCTACACAGCAGAAAACACCAGGCCGCCAACGAGAAGGGCCAGGCTGACCCTGGCTCTGTTGGCTTCACTCCTGGGACTCAGATGTAGCTCCCAAGCCCCCAAACGCTTAGGTGGGGCTATCCACCACTGACAGGGTGAATGGAGAGGCAGATTAGTGCAAATTAGGCAGGATTTTCCAAAAATCATCTAGATTTTGCTCATATTGTGATGTGGATGTACCTAACAAGTTAAGAATTCATAAAACTTAAACCAAAAAAAAAAATGAAATGACAGTGTAAAGGTCTAAATTCACTTAAACTAGGAAGTTTCCCGAGGTTCTTCAACTTTCTCCCTCCCAACCCACCCATTGCCCAAACTTAAGTGAGCAATATCAAAAAGAATTGGTGTCTCTACAACCTTGAGTCACACCCCTGGGAAGCAGATAGGAGGAAGTGTATGACACACATGTGTTTGTGAGTGTATGTGAAGTGTGTGCATGTGGTATGCATGTGTGGTGTGTGCAGTGTGCATGAGTGTTTACGTGTGTGAGTTGTGCTATTGTGTGTGCGGAAGGTTTTTTCTCTTCCAAACCAGAGGGCAGCAGGAACATAGTAAAAGCAAACATCCTCCTCCTGTCAACAAAGTAGTTACTTAAGTAGATTAACTGGAAGCGATAATAAAGATCTCTCTCGCATACAGTAAGTTCATATTGGCATAGACACAGAGAATACACTGGTGATTGCCAGAGGGCAGGGGGTTGGAGGACTGGGTAAAAAGGTGAAGGGACTGAGAAGTACAGATTGGTAGGTACAAAATAGTCAAAGGGATGTAAGGTCAGCATAGGGAATACAGTCAATAATCTATACTAATAGAAGGGTAATATGCTAATTAGATCGGATAGACCAGACATCCTTCCGGACAAAGCCGCAGTGGCTGTGAGGGCCGCCAGTGGCAGCAGGAGCGGAGTGATGGGGGCAGTGCCTTCCCCTGATCAGCCTGCAGAGGGAAGCGGGTCTACGCCATCAGTAGGACATCCCCTGAGGGCTCCCAGACTGTGAGAGGGAGCAGGCCAGGCTGAGGGACCCCACCCCGCCAGTGCATGAATTTTCGTGCACCGGGCCTCTAGTATTTTAATAGCTATGTGTGATGCCAGGTAGGTACTAGAAATAGGGGGGGATACTTTGTAAAGGATATGATTGTCTAACCACATGCTGTACACTTGAAACTAATACAAAATAATATTTTTTAAATAAATAACCCTGGCCGGTGTGGCTCAGTTGGTTGAGCGCTGTCCCATGCACCGAGAGGTCAGATTCAAATCCCAGTCAAGGAACATGCCTGGGTTGAGGGCTCAATTCCCAGTAGGGAACATGCAGAAAGCAGCAGATTGATGTCTCTCTCTCATCAATGTTTCTCTCTCCTTCCTCTCTCTCTCTCTCTCTCTCTCTCTCTCTCTCTCTCTCTCTCTCCTCTCTCTCTCTCCCTCTCCCTTCCTCTCTCACTAAAATGAATAAAAACATATTTTTTTAAAAAAAGAAAAAGTAAATAAATAAATTCATATTGGAAAACAACGCCAAAAACCAGCCCTCCAGATGTCCCCCGCTGAGAGAGCACCATGGTGCGGGAGAGAAGACATCAGATGCAGGATCAGAACACGAGTTCTGCCACTGCCCAGCGGTGCGAGGCCTGGGAAACATTTCTTTTATTTATTCAGAGCATCGCCCTTCACTCTCCTAAAGCTGACTTAAGGCTGCTTGCAATCAAAGTCACTTACCATTTCCAAGACTCAGTTTCCTCCTCCATTAAGTGAGGCTAAAACACTCCTGCCTTTCTTCACTATTTTGCTGTGAGGAGCAAGTCCTTTCCTTGTAAACTTATAAAGTATTTCTCAAATATAAGGAAGTTTAATTGTTTATTACCTCTCATAGAATCTTAGAATTATGGGGGGTGGGGAGGGTGGGAGGAGTTGCCGGGGAGAGGCTACTCGGGGGAAAAAAGAGACATATGTAATACTTTAATAACAAAAAAAAAAAAGAATCTTAGAATTATGTATTCTATTTGCTTCACAAAATTCGCCTCTTCAACATCCACCTCATAAAGACATTAAAAATTGGCAAGTGTTCCTACCATTAAACAATATAAAAATGCTTAAGAAATAGTACTGCTCACTTTACACCCATTAGGATGACTAATATTAAAAAAAAAAAAAAAAGAATTACAAGTGCTGGCAAGGAGATGGAGGTATTAGAACCCTTGTGCATTGCTGGTGGGATGTAAAATAGTGCAGTTACTGAGGAAAATGGTCTGGAAGTTCCTCAAAAAATTAAACAGAGTTACCATGTGATCCAGCAATCCCACTTCTGAGCACATACACAAAAGCATTGACAGCAGCGTCTCAAAGCGATAGTGTATACCCGTGTTCAAAGCAGCGTTAACACATTCCCATAGCCAAAAGGTAGAAGCATCCCAAATACCCATGATGAGTGGATAAACAATATGTGGGGTATACATACCACAGAATATTATTCAGCTTTAAAAAGGAAGGCCATTCTCACACAGGCCACAGCCTAAAGGAACTTTGAGGACATTATGCAAAGTGAAAAAAGGAGGTCACAAAAAGACAGATACTGTGTGATTCCACTCATGGAAGTCAAATTCAAAGAAACAGAAACCAGATGGTGGTTAACAGGAACTGAGAGGAGGAGGAAATGGAAAGTGATTATAATAAGAGTTTGGTTTTGAAAGATGAAAAGAGGTCTGGAGACTGGTTGCACAACAATGTGCATGTACTTAATGCCACTGAACACTTAGAAATGATCAAGATGGTAAATTTTATATTAAGTGCATTTTTACACAATTATTGTTGTTGTTCATCTGCACCCTAGGATATTTTCCCGTTTATTTTTGGAGAGAGTAGAAGGGAGAGAGGAATGAGAGAGAGAGAGAGAGAGAGAGAGAGAGAGAGAGAGAGAGAGAGAGAAAGAAAGAGAGAAACATCAATGCAAGAAAGACACATTGATTGGTTTCCTTATGCATGTGCCCCAACCAGGGCTGAAAATCAAGCCTGCAACCCAGGTACATGCCAATAACGGGAATTACACCCAATATTCTTCAGTACATGGAAAAACGCTCTAACCACTGAGCACACCCACCAAGGCATAATATATTTATAACTTTTTAAAAAAATACATTTTATTGATTTTTTACAGAGAGGAAGGGAGAAGGATAGAGTCAGAAACATCCATTGCCGAAACCGGTTTGGCTCAGTGGATAGAGCGTCGGCCTGCGGACTGAAAGGTCCCAGGTTCGATTCCGGTCAAGGGCATGTACCTGGGTTGCGGGCACATCCCCAGTAGGAGATGTGCAGGAGGCAGCTGATCGATGTTTCTCTCTCATCGATGTTTCTAACTCTCTATCTCTCTCCCTTCCTCTCTGTAAAAAATCAATAAAATATATATTTTTAGAAACATCCATGAGAGAGAAACATCGGTCAGCTGCCTCCCGAACACCCCCCACTGGGGATATGCCCACAACCAAGGCACATGCCCTTGACCGGAATCAAACCCGGGACCCCTGAGTCCGCAGGCCGACGCTCTATCCACTGAGCCAAACCGGCCAGGGCCATAACTTTTTTAAGGAAGGAAATTCTGACATGGATTAGATGAACCTTGAAGACACTATGCTAAGTGAAATAAGACAGTCACAAAAAGACAAATACTGTATGATTCCACTTCTATGATATTCCTGGAGTAATCAATTTCATAGAGACAGAAAGGAAAATGGTTCCCAAGGGCGGGGGAAATCGGGTTATTGCTTAATGGGCACAGAATTTGTTTGGGAAGATGAAAAAGTTTTGGAGCCCTAACTGGTTTGGCTCAGTGGATAGAGCATCAGCCTGCCGACTGAAGGGTCCCAGGTTCGACTCCGGTCAAAGACATGTACCTTGGTTGTGAGCACATCCCCAGTGGGGGGTGTGCAGGAGGCAGCTGATTGATGTTTCTCTCTCATCGATATTTCTAACTCTCTATCCCTCTCCCTTCCTCTCTGTAAAAAAATCAAAATATATTTTTTAAAAAAAAGTTTTGGAGATGGATGATGGTGATTCTTGCACACAATGTGAATGAATGTACTTAATGCCACTGCACTGTCTTAAAATGGTTAAAATAGTCAATTGTATCTTCTACTTTACTGCAACTTAAAAAATAACAAACACATTTTTAAAGAAACAGTATTGAGAACAATAAAATAAATTGCATGTATTAATTGCTAAATTTCCTTTGGTAATTGTATTGTGGTTTATGTAAGAGAATGACCTTGCCTTGAGGAGGTACATGCTCAGATATTTAGGTGTGGAGTCTCCTGATGACAGCATACCTCAAATGTTTTAAACACAGAAATGTTACATGTGTGAGCATATATATGGACAGAGATAGAAAGCAATGAAACAATTGTGATAAAATGTAAACAACTGGTTAATCTAAAAAAAATTTTTTTTTTATTTTTAAAAAATAAGCTTTATCAAGTAGCTTTTAGAAAAATAATAACAGACCTAGCCGGTTTGGCTCAGTGGATAGAGCAGCGGCCTGCGAACTGAAAGGTCCCAGGTTCAATTTCGGTCAAGGGCACAAGCCCGGGTTGTGGGCTCGATCCCCAGTGGGGGACTTGCAGGAGGCAGCCGATCCACCATGATTCTCTCTCATCACGGATGTTTCTATCTCTCTCTCCCTCTTCCTTCCGCTCTGAAATAAAAAATATATATATTTAAAAAAAACACAAAAAAACCCCCACACAAATGTATAAAAAAAGAAAATGATAAACATTTTTTAAAACCTGATTGGTTTTTAATTATTGCATCATTTTCCATACAAACAGCTGTAAGTCTACTTTTGACCACCCCTGTGATTATGTAAAAATTGTGTATGAACGTGGACAAGGTCTCGAAGGGAAAATGAAGGTGGTTTTACGTGGTGAGGTAGAGTGATTGTAGGTGACTTTTCTTTCCTTGTGATTTCTCTTTATTCCATTAAAAAGTAGAAAGTATATCCCTGGCCGATGTGGCTCAGTCCGTTGAGTGTCATCACATGCACCATGAAAATTGTGGCTCAATCCCCAGGAGGCACGATCAATGTTAGATTCTCACATTGATTTTTTTCTTTCTCTCTTTCTCTCTCTCTCTCTCTCTCTCTCTCTCTCTCTGTCTCTCTCTCTCTCCCCCTTCTTCTCGCTCTAAAAATCAATAAAAAAATATATATATATTTTTACAAGTAGACAGTAGACAGGGTTCACCTCTCAACCCGGGCCTTCTCCGGCTGTGCTTGCTGTTGCAGATGTCCTGGATGTTCTGCACCACTTCCCGGCTCAGTCCGTGCTCCCTCATCATCTCCAGCACCTTTCTGTCCATTAGGTTATGAGACCGGAGGCAGTTGGTAAAACCACAGTTCCCTCGGGTGAAGTGTTCACAGATGTGGAGTCTTTCGCACATGGGCTGATGGCCACAAATCTGCTTTCGACCTTCTCCCTTATAACTTTTGCATATCTACAGAGGAGAGAATGAGAGTCAGAGACAAAAATCCTTCCTGTGTCTGCTACACATTCATTAAGGCAAATTTGACTACACAGAAATTTCAGAAGCATATACCAAAGGGGACAATGCGTGCGTATGCCACCGTCTTTAATGACTTATATTCAATTGATCATGATTTTGGGGCAGAAGGAACCTGCAGACTCACTAAAAGAAATATGAATTTGATAATCCTTTGGAAGAATCAGAGTAAAATGGTGAGCTACGGATAGGACCAAACAGGACCCAAGGTGAGGCCTCCATTATGAGGGCACCTCCAGGAGGAAGGCCCACCTGTAGATATCAATTCATTAAGAAGACAGGCGGGTCTTACTTGCAACCGTTGAAAATGCAGAATCAAGTCTCTACCAGACAGAATGTGGCAAAGCTTCTCAAAAGATCAACCAAAGAAGATAATTTTGTATGGCTATGGAAGTAGGTATATCTAGCTCTACAGAGATGTAGTTCCTACTGAAAGGAGGGCAGAAGAAACATTATTATGCCTGAGGCCAGGCCATCTGATGCAGGACTGGAGGACGCTAGTTTAAAAGTCTGCAGACGCCCGGCTGGCGTGGCTCAGTGGTAGAGCGTCAACCTATGAACCAGGAGGTCACAGTTTGATTCCCAGTTAGGGCACATGCCCAGGTTGTGGGCTCGATCCTCAGTGTGGGGTGTGCAGGAGGCAGCCAATCAATAATTCTCTCTCATCATTGATATTTATCTCTCTCTCTCTCTCCCCCTTCCTCTCTGAAATCAATAAAAATATATTTTAAAAAACCAAAAATAAATAAACAAATAAATAAATAAAAGGGAGCGAGCATTCAATTCGTCCTACTACTGCATTTTCAGATCACACTTGCTCACAGCAGGCTCCCTAGCAGCCTAGCAGAGGAGACATTCCAGACTCCAATTCTTATTACCCTTCAAGCAGGAAGTAAATTGCTGGAGTCTCTTAGGTCATCCAACAGAAGCCATCTGCTGGTGTTGCCCCGTGAGAGCCCTGGTGCTGAGTTTCTTCCTGGTCTTACTCGAACACATCCATGATACAACACTGCCAATTACACATTCTTCCTGCTTTTTAAACCAAGGAATCATAACTTACCTCAGGCATAAAAAAAGGGTCACTTTGGACGAGAAGCACTGCTAATTCTTCTTTGTTCAGTCCAGAGATCTGATGACGTTTCAGGACTATAAAGTTGTCTTCTGAGAGAACATCGTGAGAATATTTGCACAAATGTCTGGGGGGGGAAAATGACAATTGTCAGTATTTCCAATTCACAAAAATTTTAAAAAATCATCCAGGGAACTTTCAGTCATTGGAAACCAAGACCCACATCCTTTGAGAACTAGTACAGGTTGGTCCTGCTTAGAAATTGCACTTTAAAAATATAAATTGATGGCCCAGCCAGAATGGCTCAGTTGGTTGGAGCATCCTCCCATGCACCAAAGGGTTGCCCGTATAATTCCCAGTCAGGGCATAATTCAACCCTCAGTCAACCCACATTTCGAGGGCAGCCAATGAATGTTTCTCGCTCATCGATGTTTCTATCTGTCTCTATCTCCCTTCCTCTCTCTCTCTAAAATCAATTTTTAAAAACATATTTTTTAAAAAAACTGAAACCAATTTATTAGAAATGATTGCTCAACAAGAGACAAAGAATAATGAGAATAACACATTTATGGACTGACTATAGAGTCAGGGAGAAAACTGAATTCCATTTATCAAAGATTTTAATTACACAAAAGTGTTCATTGCTTTATTTCTTCTTCATCTTATATATCAATGTATACCTGTATAATTTGTGACTATAAAGGAATATAACGAGCTCTTAATGGTAGAATTCAAAGAAGTCTACAGAAAGAGATAAAAACCCCTTTCACTTTAAGTCTTTGATTATGTAGGCCAACACTATCCCGAATAGAATTTTCTCTGACAATGAGATTGCTCTCTCATCCAAGCTTTCCAAGATGTAAGCCCTACATGGCTACTGAGCATTTAAAATAGAGCTAGTGAGACTTAGGAACTGCATTTTCTATTTACTTTATTTTAATTAATTTAAATTGGAATAACCACATATAACGAGTGGCCACCATACTAAGTGGCAAAGATTTAGATCTTGGCTATTCAAAGTGTGGTAGGAGAACCAGTAGCACCTGGGAGCTTGTCAGAAATTTAGAATCTCAGCCCCTACCCTAGTCCTACTGAATCAAAATCCATCTTCCAACAATATCTCCAAATGATGAAATCACATTGAAGTCCAAGATGCACTGACTGAGATCACTGAGAAGCCCTGAGAACACTGATGGTTTCATCGGACAAACAGAATTTGACAGTTAGCAATGTCTACATAACAAACTCACTCCACTTTTTAATCTATATATGCTACCTAATGTATCACCAAAGTTCTCAGACTTATGATTGCAATAGTTATTAATATGATGGGATATTGCCCTGGCGAGGTTGCTCAGTTGGTTTGAGTGTCGTTCTGATACGCCAAGGTTTCAGGTTCGATCCCCAGTCAGGATACATAAAAAAAGCAACCAGCCCTAGCCAGTTTGGCTCAGTGGATAGAGTGTCGGCCTATGGACTGAAGGGTCTCAGGTTCGATTCCGGCCAAGGGCACATGCCTGGGTTGTGGGCTCGATCCCCAGTGGGGGGCATGCAGGGGGCATTAATGACTCTCTCTCATCATTTTTTTTATGTGTTCCAATAAAACTTTATTTACAAACAAAGGTGTTAGGCCTGATTCCTCCCATAGGCCATAGTTTGCTGACTCTGATGTTTCTATCTCTCTCTCCCTCTTCCTTCCTCTCTGAAATCAATAAAGAAATATATTTTTAAAAAAGAGGAAGCAACCAATGAATGCATAAATAAGTGGAATAACAAATTGATGTTTTGGTCTCTCTCAAAATCAATCAATAAAAAAATATATATGATGGGATGTTCTATTTTCTAGTTTGCACAACCATTATCAATTTATCAGGTGGTTAGGTTATGGCCAGATTTTCACTATATAAATAGTGTGACTACAATTATCTTTATACAAATAACCTTTCTTCCTATCTGTTATTTTCCTGGGATTATTCCTTTGGGAGTACTCCCCAAAGGACACAATTATTTTCTTGGCAGCTTGTGTTTCATTTTGATCTACTGCTCTCCAGAAAACATACCAATATGTGAGTGTGATTATTTCCCCACAAGCACATTAACGTTGAGTTTTATTATTTTGCTATTTCAAATAGGTAGGAATTAGACTTATATTTTTAATTTGCACTTAATAAATATCTCCATTTATTTGCCTTGTTCTATTTTCCTTATTGAGAATTAAAATCTTTCTTTTAACAGTTCTCCTTCGTTTCCCAAATAGTAAACATTTATCTGTTGCCACTATTTTTTTAGTTCATTATTACTATGAAAAAAGAAATGCCAATGACTTTGCAAAATGATCTTGCTGAAATTGATCATTTGTTTTTAAATGTAAACATCTGAGGTAAAAGTTATTCTCTAAGAATTAATCTTTGAAAGTCACTCATTCTCGTGCTGCCGCCTGTGTGTAAGGCATTTCTGAAATTCTCTGGAATTGCCTTCAGATCCAGCAGTGGAGCCTTCATGAGAAAAATCACAGAATGGGTAACTGCCAGCCCCCTCACAACCCTGCAGCCCTCCCACGCACCCTGCTTCTCAGAGAAGTCAAGGGCAGCGAGCCAGGCTCTGGCACTGCCTCTATCCCAGCCATTTTCTCAGGCGGCCCTCGCCGCTTTCTCCACCAGGTGGCCCTGGCTTTCAGCCATTTCGGGCACTTCTAGATAAGGCTGACCTCAGCTTTCTGCTTGCTTTGGGTTCTGTGGTTTCAGATAACTGCTCCCCAGCAACCCTCACCACCCAGAGCCCTCAGCAGCTGGGCGAAGGCTCCACCTTATCACTCCCTCAAGCCCCATGGGAGGGGGTGATCTGAAGAGAAGCTACAGCAGGAAGGGCCCAGCCTCCACCCAGAACAGAAAGCCCCTCCATCACAGCTTTAGGCTGTGTGCGAGCCTCATTACCTCACAGGGCATCTCACTCCACTGGCCGATGCCATTAATGATCCTCTTGATACGGAGCTGGAAACACCCCACCACTAGCTAGACAGGCTCTGCCCTCTGCCTGGGAGGTAAGGAACAAGTGCTCATCAGAGGGAATTAAGAGTCTTTTTCCCTTTAGCTCCAATCCAGACATCCTGAACACAGAGCCAAGGCTATGGCAGCTCTCCTGCCACCTAAAAAGGGTCATAGAAGAGGACCCAGCCCTCTCCAGGCCCCAGAGAGACACAGCTTTGGTCACAACTAGGTGTCTGTCGTGTCCTAACGGAGGAGTGGGGCACTTCCAAGATCCCTGGAGTATTTCCTCTAAATCTACAGGCAGCCAGGGGCCTAATGGGGGCTCCTCTGCTGGAAGCCTGCGTTCCAGGCCTTTCCAAGCTCAGCCAGGACACCCTGCCTGAGGAAGAGCCCACCCAACACGCTGCCCATCCAGTTTCACTTCTCATTTCCCTTCTCCATCCTCGGGCAAACCACTCGCTCCTCTGGATTCCAGGACACGCACCTTGAACCCATCCTCAGTCTGCAACATCTATGTCTAGCCTTGGTTTCTGATCTGCACCCCCACCCCCACCCCCACCCCCACCGGAAACCCTGCTCAGTTTCCCCACATTCCCTAGACTTCTCTATCTTTGCCCTAATTTCGGCATATTGATCAGCCACAGGATGGGGGTGGGACTGTGCTCATCTATTTGGGGGTGAGACCAGAAGTACAGAAACTAACATTTATTACATATTCACTAAGTGACAGGAACTTTGTTGTTTAATTTATTTGTCACAATAATCCTAAGGTAACAGTATACTGTTTACTTTGGGAAACTAAGGCTGGGGAAAATGAGAAATCAAAGATGACTCAAATACCCAGATCGCAAAACACAAACTAAAACTCAATCTGGGCAAACAAAAACAGACATCTGAAACTTTTCCAAGTCAGAAAGGAAAAAAGAAGGGGGGAAAAAAAGCACCATTCTGGGTTACTTAAGCCACTGTACTAAATGGAAAACTGAGAGCAGAGTCCAAGGAGAGAGGATGCGTATAAACCAGTGGTCGGCAAACTCATTAGTCAACAGAGCCAAATATCAACAGTACAACAATTGAAATTTCTTTTGAGAGACAAATTTTTTAAACTTAAACTATGTAGGTAGGTACCTTGTTATTAACTTAATTAGGGTACTCCTAAGGCTTAGGAAGAGCCACACTCAAGGGGCCAAAGAGCCGCATGTGGCTCTCGAGCCGCAGTTTGCCGACCACGGGTGTAAACCATAGAGAGGGTGTAGCAGGTTGATGCCTCCATGCTCAGGTTTAAGGTGGCAGAAGCTTCCTTTGCGCTTTCTTCTGATCGTTTTGTCCCAGCTCCAGGTCCTTCGTATCGGCTAGTGGGCTTAAGCCAAGAAATAGTGTGAAACTCTCCCATGTCTTCCTGGGGTTCTCTAAGGCAGCTGTTCTCAAAGAGAGGTCCCCGGATAGGCATCACCTGGGAGGCTGTCAGAAATGCAAATCCTCAGGCCCCATCCCAGACCCACTGCTTGAGTCTCAAACTTTTACCCACATCAGAAGCCTTGAGGGCAGAGGTTCTCAACCTGTGGGTCGCGACCCCTTTGGGGGTCGAACGACCCTTTCACAGGGGTCGCCTAAATGCATCCTGCATATCAGATATTTACATTACGATTCCTAACAGTAGCAAAATTACAGTTATGAAGTAGCAACGAAAATAATTTTATGGTTGGGGGTCACCACAACATGAGGAACTGTATTAAAGGGTCGCGGCATTAGGAAGGTTGAGAACCACTGCTCTAGGGGCTTTGTAAGAACACAGATTGCTGGGCCCCACCTCCAGAGTTTCTGATCAGTAGGTCTGGGGGATGGGAATGGGAATTTGCATTTTTTAAAATATATTTTTATTTATTTCAGAGAGGAAGGAAGAGGGAGAGTTAGAAACATCAATGATGAGAGAGAATCACTGATTGGCTGCCTCCTGCACACCCCCCACTGGGGATCGAGCCCGAAACCCAAGCATGTGCCCTTGACCGGAATCGAACCTGGGAACCTTCAGTCTGCAGGCCGACGTTCTATCCATCGAGCCAAACCGGCCAGGGCAGGGAATTTGCATTTTTAACAAGCTACCAAGTGGTGCTGAGGCTGCTGGTCCAATTAAGTAGCA